GCGAGGACTCGAAGAGCTCGAAGGCTTGGCCTCTCGAGCCCTTCGATAGAAGCAAGATCCACCTGGCTCCCTTCGAGCCACGAAGCAGGGAGGTCTATATAATCAAGATGGATTTCCTTTGTATAAAGCTTCGTGCTCAAGATCAATCATTTAGTATGCTCTACTATTAGTTACGAATTGCATTCCATTATTGTCATTACTTAAGTCCTTGCTTGACGCCTAGTTATAAACCACCTCGAGAGTCTAGAGCACTTCCACGTGATCTAGACGGCAAACCTCGTAACAAGAAATCGTTTTTTTTACTTTGTCTTTAATAATTAATCGTTTTTTGATTACTTATCAAATTCTATCGATATTGAAAAGGCAGCTGCTAAGGATATTAAGCACTAGCAGGGTTTTATATTGAGGCTGAGACTCAGACGGCGCTGCAAACTTGTCTTACATGGTCATATTTTTATCAGAATCAGTCAAGATTTACACATACAAAACCTAAAACGCCATGACAAAATTTCCTAAAACCCTTGTATTCTCGAAACGCGAAAATTCGCGTTTAGAAAGAGTATTTCACGATTCTAGGGTTGAAATTTACAACTATATCTCCAACATTCTTTATGTGTCAGTTGAATGTTGGTAAACCTTGAGATTGTATCTAAATTGCTTTAACAAGTCTTTTTTCTTACCCAGAAAATGTATCAGCAAGTTCTAGGAGCTCCTTCCACCTAGTATCCTTCTGGATCTCAATTGTCCGCTCGGGCGTAGCGACTTTGAAGTCATCAATCTCCTTCGTACCATATCGATACTCATCCTCAGCACCAACGAATGCGACCAAGTCACGGATCCAATCTTTCATCAGCACAAGTTCTTGCTCAGTTGGGCCGTGCATTATCGAAAAACTATTTTGTGAAAAGAAAAGTTAGTTAAATTCTATTTTCACACTTTTTTAATGAAGGAGACTCACTTCCAGAGTGGCTTGTCCATCGCGTGAGCTACACCAAAGCTCCTTGGTGCTACAGCATCTGTTATGAATGATAGCCGATACGAAATCTTATATCGCCAAATATTTTCAACTCCCACACCATTTGAAAAGAGGCTGTTTACCAGGAACCGAGATGGTGCCCGTACTTGGCCATCCGAGATGATATGACCATATAAGGCAGTCCATTCATCCTTCTCTTCCGTGGTTGGAAGCTTGTAGTGTTTTAACACGCGAGACGTTGTTGCAGGCGCATAGTAATTGGATACCTGTAGACGAAGAGATTCTTCATTCGCCTCAGGACCATTAGTTGCAGCATATAATGTTTCTTCATTTAACATTTCGCCGATAAGTATTTTGAAGTTGCGCCGTTTGAATTCTTTTGCGAATTCGCCACTGCGATGATAGTCTATCATGCCAGGCTGGATGAATGACGAGTCGGTTACAGGGCGGAATGTGTGATGCTTCAATTTCATAATGGCGTCTACCAGTTCTTTTGATCCTGTTTGGCGCAGCGCGGCTAGTTTCTCGACACCACTGGAATCTTTTGAAATGTTAAAGAACTGGCAAAGCTCATCAAATTGGTCTTGGCATTCGACAAGTGTCTTGGGTTGCGCTGGAATGGCATTGGACATCATGACAATGCGATGGAACGACGGAGAGGTAGCTTGGGTCGCTGGATTCTGGAACTCATACATGGCGTTCGCATGCACGGCGTACGCGCCTGCGCTTCTCCCTGCTAAGGTAATGTTCTCTACATCACCTCCAAATTGTGCTATGTTCTCTCGAACCCAGTCGATAGCCAGTCTTTGATCCCACAAACCATAATTACCTGCTTCGGCATTGTCGTTTTCTGCTTGCAAGGCATCACCCGCAAGAAAGCCAAAGAGGTTCAATCTGTAGCCTATAGCTACCACAATGGCATTCAACTCCCCTGTTGAGATGAGTTCGGTTGGATTCATTACCGGCTCATGTGATGGATCACCCATTTGAAACCACCCTCCATGAAGCCATAGCATTACTGGCCATTTCTTGCCCTCAGTTGATTTGACTGGTGTCCAGATATTGAGTCTTAAGCAATCTTCACCAAATGCCTCTTCAGGTGTTCCATTTTTCTTAGCTGTCATATAAGCGGCCTGTGGACAGATTGGTCCAAATTCTGTTGCGTCGAATGGTTTACCATCATGTGATGCATAAGTATAATTGACAGGAAGTGGTTGTGGCTTTCGCCAGCGTAGATTTCCTACGGGAGGTAACGCATATGGTATCCCTGCATACCGCCGTGCCTTTGAATCATATTGAAGTCCTATTATGGATCCCTTTCCTTCATCGAGGTCAAGCTGATGTTCCTCGACTTTGTATGATATGGTGTTCCCCATGATGCTGGAGGTAGGCTTGGGCTATTCAAGAATTTGAAGTTTTTGAATTGAACCCTAGCCAGAAGCTATATAAGACACGCGTAATATTGAGCGAAGATTTGAAACAGCCGGAGTATCGCCAGGAGGTTGCTTGTTCCGATGTCGACAAAATTTCGTGGAAAGTCGTCTACCTAGATTGATTTCTCGTGGTCATCTAGCCGTCGACCCCACTCTCAGTAAGTCAAGAACTCCGGGCGACAGGAAGATCGAAAAGTCGTCAAGATAACGGTGGCAGGAGGATGTATGGCTTATGATCTCGTCTAAGAAACAAGTCGCCCTCGGAAGTCATTGTAGATAAGTACACGAGATAAGTCCACTTCAGACCCTGGAATCTTCCTCATACCCACTATGCATATCGTGTAATTGAGCCAATAAAATGATATAGTTATCGATGCCTCTTCGCTTAGCTCCTCGGGGTCTGTGCTCTTTGATAGTGTTTTAGTGCGGAGAAAGTGGGGGTCATATGAAATCGGCTGTCTTGTTTCTTGAGTTCCCACATTGCGTTCGTGTACCGGCATATTTCTCAATAGACGCAGTGGGTGATAACCTTTTGTGGGTTTTATTCAATATGGTACCAAAATTTAGGCCAGTACATACAAACCATATGTGTCCACAAATCGATGGATCACCGAGGACAGGTCACAAACACTGATGAGGCCAAACTTGACAGCTTCGGTGATACACTCATCATGTCAGACTCTGCCACCACCTCCGCAAAGGCCAATCCCAAGCGGAAGCGGTCTAGTACCTCCCGTTCTAAGCAAGGTAGGTACTTTTTATTGCACCAAATTTTAGTTGAGCAGTTGCTGATACTTCTGTCACAGGATGCTTGACTTGCCGCACAAGAAAGGTCAAGTGCGATGAACGTCTTCCTTGCTGTGGAAGGTGCGAACGTCTGAAGCTCAATTGCCTGCAGCCATGCTCCCGTATTTTACCAAGTATGAGAGAGCGACGACGTGGTGCTGGCCCACTTAAGTCTCGGAATTCTGACTGGTATCCTCAGTCGCTCTCTCCAGCTTTGCAAATATCACATGAACCGCCACCAGATTCAGAAGCGCTTTTAAACCATTATCTTTCGGGTTTTGACCATGGATTAGCAGCTGCATCGGCATCTTTGTTCTTAGCAGAAGAAGATTCTACAGACACATCTCAGTGTGAAGTGCCAAATATTGAGACAGAAGCAGATACACTTTTGAACCTCGCTTCCGATTGGATACTCCCAGGTCCTCAGTGTATAAATGCTTATGCTCGCACATATCCTGTATCTTTCGAACAGCTTCCTATAGCAAACATATTGTCGACACAGGGAGCTGTGTCGGAAAATGAGATGTCTCTGACTGTAGACGAAGAGCTAGCTCTCGCACACTATAGGACAGCATTTTCTTCAACTCAAACTACGAGAGACCCAAAGTGGTCCACTCCTGCCTTACTGTTACTTCACGGACTGGAGCACTCACAGATGCTTCTCCACCTTATACTAGCCGTGTCGCTTTATGATACGCCCTCCGATCCCGTCGATGTTAGTCGCCTCCGTCAAAATGGCCATAAACATTACGAAAAAGGCACGGAGCTGCTCATGCTAGCTTTAGGAGGTGAAGGTTTTCCGGACCATCTCGCAGTGTTAGGGTCTTTTTATTGCATAAACATGTATATGTCACGATCTCACGGCATCATCATACCAAAATTAGACCAGCTCAGTGTTACAGCAACAGAGCATCTAAAAAAGTATAACTTAATAGTGCCTATCTACGGCCAGTCACATACAAATGAAAAATCTATGAAGGAACGTGCAGAGCGAAGTTTAATCGCTCGTATGATCATGTGGCTACTGAAAATTGATGCACAGGGAAGCTTTTTAGGGTGTAAGCCTAGTTTAATAAACTACTTTCAAGCACATCCTGATCACCTATCAGCTGTACAAGCAGAATCTCGCCTTGCTTTACAACTTAATTGGGGAACAGAATATCCAATATCGCAAAGTATTCGGGATATTGAGAGTTGTTTGCCAGTTGACATGATGACTGATATGCTGGTTCTATACTCCAGGATCAGCGAATTTAGTCAATTACCCTCGAACATTGAGTCCAGTGAAATGCTAGCGAGTCTGCAAAAAGAACTCGCTGCTCTAGAAATAGTAAGTTATGATACTTATGGCATTGGATTATGCTTACTCCTTATAGCGTTACGGTGCTGTTTTCTATTATGGATCTTCAGACATGACCTTGCAACCGGCTATGAAACTCAATTGTTCAAACTCGGCTACAATGTATTACGCACTCCAAATATATTTCGCCCGGTCTGGGTCAAGCTCATTCGGAGAAGAAGTCACACCTGATGTTAAAGCTATTTTGAGCCAGCTACTGCTATTCGCAATGCATGCTTGTCCTGCCGGCCCACAACAGCCAGTATATGAATTTCAATGGTCTTTGTTCATTGCAGCTGTCGAAACGAATGATATGATACACCAAGAATGGTTGCAAGCTAGAATAACTAACCATCGCCTTCGCGAAGCCTTCCAGCGTATTTCTTCGTTCAAGCGGAGCAACATGGGGACAATATCTTTAAGTAAGGTCAGGGAAATTCTTCTGGCCGTTTAGGAGAAAATGTATACATTAATTTCAATGTATTGAGGGTATTTACGCTAAATGAATTCGATGGAATACATGGATGCTCATTGCTCAAGAGATCTGAGTCAGTCTGATTGGATTAAACGTTCATCCTAATAGTCTTTTTGGGATCGAACACTTGGAAAGGAGGTTGCTTTGGTTGCCTGATGATCAGGGGAAAAGAGGTTAAGGTTACTCGGCGTCAATGGATATGTACTATACTTAACAAAAGCGACTCTTTACTTCTTCCATCTAAGCGAATCATATCAGATCTATACAAATTCGTATAAGGATCAATTACACGAGTCAAACAAACAAGTTTAACGGAGAGATAGTGTTACCTAAATATTCAAAGATGGATACTACGAAGATACATACTCCTTTCAGTGCCTACCTACCTACTGCGGGGTCAGTAAAAGCCGGCACTAGGGAACAGGCGAGTTTCCCCCATTTTGATCAATTAGTCATACCGCGGTCGTACGTCCAACGTACTGTGGGGCCGATAACGGCACTTCTATGTGACCCCTCTCGTCGTCGATTCTAGCGAATCACACGCTCAAGTTGGCGAGTGTGACGATCGTTCGGAGGATTTCCGCCCCAGCATTCCCCTGTGGCCGGTATCATTAGGTTCGTGTCTGTACTACTAAGTTGTATTATTGGTGATAAGGTCAAAGAGAGTAACGAATCTTCAGCATCTTCCGTCTTGGTTCCGGATCGTTCTTGGAGATATAACCTGCTCAACAGCACCAGATATGGTTCTGTATTAATTCATTTGTCTTCAGTAAACATTCTAAATCCTGAAAATGTTTTCAGTCGACGGTAAAATTAGTGTTGGCGGAGACGCTCTCCAAACCATTTCGAAGTCTTCTCGGCCAGGAGAGAAAATTATTGAGAATGTGGAAACTGGCGAGACCTCTTGGCATCCCACCGTCGCGGAAGAAAAAGCATTGCTAAGAAAGATTGATTGGCGGTAAGTAACGCTGTTCTGAGATAGATGAAACAAGAGGTCTAACAAAGACGACAGGTTGATGCCATTACTGACGGCTTCCTATTTCTTGCAATTCCTCGACAAAACCAGTCTCAACTATTCTTCAGTAATGGGCTTAATTACTGATACTGAGCTTAAAGGCCAGGAATATTCATGGCTGGGAAGTGCTTTTTATTTCGGCTATCTGATTGCTAACTACCCAGCATCTCTGGGATTCATCAAATTTCCTCTGGCCAAATACCTCTCAGTATCAGTTGTCCTCTGGGCGATTGTGCTAGGCTGTCATGGAGCTGCAAGTAACTTTATTGCATTGTGTGTTCTCCGCGTCCTCTTAGGAGTAACGGAGAGTACTATCAGCCCTGGTTTTAGCTTGTTGACTGGAATATGGTATAAGCCTTCCGAACATGCTTGGAGACACGGCATATGGTTCTTAGGAAACGGCATCGCCAATACTTTTGGAGGCCTACTTGCGTACGGTATTGCTCATATTGGAGGAAGTCTGGAGCCGTGGAGAGTGAGTCATCTACCAGCTGTTCTAATATTTTGTATCTAACGCATTTTTTTTGCAGTGGTTGTTTATCATATTTGGATTGATTACCGCCCTATGGGGAGTCATACTCTACTTCACTTTGCCTGATTCTCCCTTGACTGCTCGATTTCTGACACAACGCGAGCGAAAAATCGTTGACCGACGACCACAAAAGATACTACATAGTTTCAAAACGGATAAGTGGTCAAGATCCCAATGCATTGAGGCATTGATTGATCCCAAAACATGGCTTATATCCCTGATCATTGGTGTCTCCTCAATCACCAATGGTGTAGTTAGTAATGTAAGAACCCTTCGCTTGTCTCGTGTTGCTCTTTGACTAACGATTTACAAGTTCGGAGCTCTCATCATCAAGTCCTTTGGCTTTGACGAACTGAATACTATTCTACTCGGCATACCCTACGGAGGTTTCCAAATTGTTGCTGTAATTGCCGCGACCTACGCCGCTTCAAAAGTCCGCAGATCTCGTCTTATAATTATCATTGTAGGATTTTTCCTTGCATTGTTCGGTATCTTGCTAGTCAGAGAAATTCCAACATCCAAAAGATATGGACGCTTAATTGGATGCTGGATGATGGTTTGGTTTTCTTCCGGTTTCCCTCTGCTTTTGAGCTTGATGGCAAGCAGTAAGTCAAATCTTCCATGAAATTGTAGAATTTCACGTCTACTTACCAAAAAAATTCGCAAAGACACAGCAGGATTCACCAAGAAAACCACCGTCAACGCCATGTTCTTTATCGGATACTGTGCCGGCAACATTGGCGGACCTCAATTATTTAAATCTGCCGAAGCACCAAATTACCACGTATGAACTCCCCCCTCTTAAATCGAAAGTTGAAGACTAACTTGTTCAACAGACTGCATACAATGGCATGATTGCTTGTCTGGTCATTGCAATCGCGCTGTCCATTGTGCTCAGGCAGTATATGGACTGGGAGAATAAACGGCGCGATCGTGAGCAGGGAGTTTATATCGATCCCGAACCTAAACATGTGGTGGACATTGATGAGGTAGATTTGACAGGTGAGCGTGTTGTATTGACTGATTGGGAGAACAAGACGTTCCGTTACTATTTGTAAATTGTTTGCATGGAGGGCAGTTTGTAGTCTCCGGGATAAGGAATGAATGAAGCAATACTTATTGTCTCAAATAGCAACGTTTTCTATTTATCAATGACGGTGAGCTGTGAACTCAAAAGCCGAATAATAGCGGATTGAACTTTCAAATCAGGAAACCCAGTAACTAGAATGCTCGAGCTTGTCTCATAAATATTCTTGCCAATGATCGGACAATGGATTGCTACAGATCTGATATCTAGTTTGTCCGGGAGTGTCTACCTAACAAGAAATTATGCGAGTATTATCATCCTCGGGTTGCAATTAATGTATTAGTGCTTATACGCCTCTGTATGCTATCCTCATGAAATTGAGCACGTCTATTGACTTCAAGCAAGATATGATATTGCCCGAATTTATCATCCGCGAACCGTTCAACATCTTCAAATGAAACGCGCGATTAGTACGAAATAAGAGCGGGTCGTTTTGATGAGAGTGAGAAAGCTGCAATTTAGTGGATACTGGTCCTGGAAATCTAATAGCATGCACGGCAACTAGGATGTTTCGCATGTCTAGCTAACTGATAGAGGCCGTGCAAAATCGGGGGGCCAGTATATCGGGATTTTGTTATACGGTTTTAGGCTCAATATTTCAAATATGGTTGAGATCCATATAATTAGGACCGTAGCTTCAATGACAAGATGACTATCTTTATACCTACAATAATAAACTTTTCAATGGGGCGGGGTACTTGCCAGTACAAATGTCAATTTGGAACTCGTGTGTAGGCAGTGACGATAAAAATTAAGCGATGCTAGTCCAAGTGTATTAATTAATGGCGGGTTACGTGCCAACATTCCACCCAGTACAAAAATTTGAACCTTCTAAATCACAGTTTCTGTGATGATACTGAACTTTCTTTCGTTATGAACCTTCGCATGATACTTCATGATACTTTACAATCCTCTCATCCACCAATACCCATGTAACTATTCCCCTGTTTCAGGTGGTGATGCCACAAAGACTTTTTGTCACGGAGTTTATTTCAACGTCAATTAGGAACGAGGTCGTCTCGAAAATATCGCCTTTTTCGGTGCATTTTCTTTGAAGATTATATACGATCGCTTAATTCTTTAAAAGTTGTGGGATTTAGCATATTCCTATTATTAATGATTATCATTCAAAATAACGAAACTTAAAAAATTGCTATTCGGGATATTTACCGCTATTTTTATGATTACTTTGTAAAGATCATTGACTTTAAAAACATTAATAATGCTTCAATTGCTGTCGATTAGGGCCAAAAAAAAAAGAGCTTAATCTCTAATATTCACTGCATTGATAGCGAGTTTCCTCATTTAACTATATGCTGTATCCCCAGATAGCATCACCGCATAGAAACTGCTAAGGGCCTTATCACCTAGACGTTCTACATATTCGTAGACTGATAAGGATAAACAAATAAACAAACCAAAAAAGCCATGGCGTACTCTATGATTGTTACAGAAAAATGCCAAAATGATAAAAAATATGCCCTACTGCCTTGGTCAAGTATGAGCACAATCTGCAGCCCAGCCTTTTAAAAAGCTTGAAGTTTCTTCAGCAACTACCTCGGTTGGTGCAACAACCGCATGACGCTGAAATCCGTACCGCAAAACAGCGCCCAGCTTAGCTACTAACTCCGCACGAATACGGAGATCTGCTTCAGCTTCGGAGAGAGCATAGAACTCGGTCCAGAAAGCTTCAGTCAGCTTATTCCGACAGCTATAATCGTGCCAGCCCTCCAAGTCCATGTAGCCTGTCGTGGGGCGAAGTATGCCCAGCTCAATACCAAAAGGTAAAACGTTTGCTAGAGACCAGTCAACTATTGCCGTGATTTCAAACGTCTCCTCATTGACAAGAATATTAGTCAAAGAGAGGTCGCCGTTTGTAAGGACTTGAGGGTAATCTGAGTTGAAGAGAATTGGTACGATGAGCTCTAACTCAGCTATGAATGAGCTTGAGAGCACAGTGGATGACTGCCGGAGGTTTAATAATCTACGAAGCATGGCATCTTTGTGTTGGGCCAGCGCTTTTGAATCGATAGATTTTTAGTTGTGCCAACATCTTGCGAAGTAGCTATAAATATTAGTATCAGTCCGTGCATGGAGATGAGAGGAATGCTGACTTAGCTAGGCTGTTCATGAATTTAAGATGCTTAATCTCGTCATTTGCATCCATGGTAACTTGACAACTAAAAGCCTCGAGGCAGGAAATGCCGGGTAAATAAGGCATAATGAAACAGCGAGTGTTTGATCTCCGATTGTACCACAATATCTTGCCTCCGGCACCAATTGGCCTTGTATATCTCTCGCAAGCTCAACTGTACTACTATCAAGTCAAGAATCTGGAAGACGAAAGGATACAATCTGCCCCACCTCACCCGTCTGGCCACCCGTGCAAAGAGTGGTATAGCTTAAAGAGCCCTGGATGCCGACTGGCTGGATGGATGAAGCACCGGTGTGAGACAAGGCGAGTTCATTGCATTGCGCTTGGTTTGGAGATTCACAATCTTGAAAAAAACTTATTTATGGATTCTTGAGCCCTTTGTGCAACACCCATGGTCAATGACTGCTTGGAGGTATCGGAGCGCAAAGAAAATTCGGGAATGATAAATAAGATGTGTTACCAGGTTCAATGACGGTGCTCAGGATCGATCATAATAGCCAAGATTATCTGGGGGTGGTTGGATGGTTGGAGAACGTCTGAATAGCTGTAGAACGCCATGGTCCTTATCCAAACAAGCAAGGCCCGATGATCCGATATCCATTTATGTCGGAATGAGGACTTAAGTCTAATACCTTATTTTTGTTACGAGGTTTGCCGTCTAGATCACGTGGAAGTGCTCTAGGCTCTCGAGGTGGTTTATAACTAGGCGTCAAGCAGGGACTTAAAGTAATGACAATAATGATATGCAATTCGTAACTAATAGTAGAGTATACTAAATGATTGATCTTGAGCACGAAGCTCTATACAAAGGAAATCCATCTTGATTATATAGACTTTCATGCCTATCGTTCCTTCGGTCCCTTCGATCCCTTTACCGAAGGGATCGAAGGGATCGAAAGGATCACATGACTTCGTACGTGGTCATATGATACGAGGCCAGAAGCCGTCGTAACAATTTTGGACCATCCTTTTATATCAAAAACGACGATTTCTATAAATTAGATTTTTTTTTTTCAAAAAAAGATTTATAATCTTTTATCTTATATAAAATTTTATATAGATTAATATTCAATATTTAATAAAGATATTATAATCTTAATTTAATAGAATTAAATTATATTCATCATTATAATGTCTATTTCTAGTATTTGTTAACGTCATTCTCTATAATTCTTTTGAAAGCTTCTTCTGTTACAGCAACTACAGCCATCATGTCCACTTCTGCAGTCGATTCCTTCTGTAGATATCCCCGGTCTTCGTCGATTACTCACTGAGAAAGACTTCTTGGAATCTTATATCACGTGTGAAGCCCGCCTTCCTTCTAATTGATATCTGTAACCTCTGTTTTTGCTATCTACGTATGATTTGGAGAGATATACTAGGTACAATGTCCTTTCCGATGATCATAGCAGCCCAAGATACCAGAAACGCATCTTCAAGCTCTAGACCAGCTTTTTGTTCGCCATAGTGTTCAACACATCTTTGGTCTATCTTATCATGGCCACTCTCAAGCCACAGGTGAAACGATTATGTTTGGTGTCAAATCACGGCTTTGAACAAGCTTAACGGCTGCTGAACCGAGCTACAACCTATCCCAGCACTTGTAAACAGACCTATTCACGGTCTCATTTTTCGACTTCAAGCTGAGGGAGATTTCTGCTCTTACAGATTTTGCTACACCAAAACTACTATATAGCCCTGCTACTATTATTGAATTTCATATTTGCTTCTTCCCTTGTAGTCTACGAGCCACTACTTCCTTATAATAAGGTTTATCAGCCTTATATACATGACCTCCAACAGGTTATGAGCCTGCGATGGGCAAGTAGGTTCAGAGCGATCAGTATCCAGTCAAGCTTCTTCAAGGCTTTTGCTACTTATTTGAAGGACAACAGGCTGGTTGATCTCTTACCCTTAGAGTTACTGGACCATCCGGAAGATCAGAAAAAGTCCGGAGTTTGTCCTCAATGTCGAAGGCATTTTAATGCTTGACAAGCGAAATCTTATCTCTGCTTTTCCTTATAGGACTACAAGTTGGACATTTCAAGCAGGAGTTGATAGGAGTGTCTATTGAAAGGGTGGAACAGTCCAGGCAGCGAGGAAAGACGGCAAACACCAAGTCTTCATCGAATCCAAGCCACTTCCAACAGGTGTCACTATTATTGTGGGTCTTCGTGAACAGGATATTATTTCTTGAATTGCGCTGATGAAAACGTCTTGTGTAGTATAATTGCTGATCTGAAAGATCGCAAACAGACCAAGGCTACATTTTCACCTCTGTACTACTAAGGTGATTGATCGATTGATTGGCTTGTTCAATTTGAGGCCTGTTTAAGGCATGATTTGAGAGAAAGTTTCCCGGTTGAGTGAATAAGATTTCCGAAAACGAGGGAGAAAAATGAAAATGAAAATGATTATTTTGAGCCTTTAAACTTTACGTACTACATCGTCCTAGTTTTAGATATACGAGACAATGATCAAAAATATGATGTTCCGACTGATGATTCTCAATACCTTAAAATAAGTGGGACAACTTAAGCATTTCCAGTGTCCAATACAGTTCAGAATATCAAGTGGTCAGATCGGCAGTAGCTTTTGCTGATAAAGAGGGGATATGTAGTACTCAGCGGTTACCTGGTACTTGATATGATGAAAAATAGAGGCCAATACATCAATGAGAGAGATGTCCGGAACCAGTTAATTACATCAGAATGAGGACCATGGGCATCTTTCTCTTTTCTTGAAAGAGAAAAGGAAATTTGGGCTGCACTCGCATTCCGCTAGTGTAATAGAAGGCAAGCGTGTCAACTTGCACGAACAAACATCTTGACATATATGTAGTAGAGGTAATGATTGAATTGTAGGGGTTTCCTTGTTCACGCATTTCAATATCATTCCGAAAGTGTGGCGGTAGTCTAGCATTGTGTGCCGACATTTGTATGGATATGAGATATGTTTGAAGTTTATGTACAATAGACTTTTCGAATCTATTTCTTTGGTTCCTCTTTCTTTTCTTCTGGCTTAGGTGTAGGAAGCTTGAATGTGGTGGGCTTCCTGTCAACACCAGAACCGACTTGCTATTCAATGTTAACAACGCTTCTCAATTTCAAAGACAAGGAATGAATTAGAGAAAGATGGACATACCTCCCATGCAGCAGTTCCACCCTCAAAGTTTCTGAATGCTTGGGTCAACTCTAATGGTTCAACCACAATACGTTTCTTCTCCTCATCGTATCTAATCTCCGTGTATCCCGTCAATGGGAAATCCTTTCGTAATGGATGGCCATCAAACCCATAGTCTGTCATGATGCGACGAAGATCCGGGTGACCAACAAAGAAAACTCCAAAGAGATCGTAGACTTCGCGCTCATACCAATTGGCACCGTCATAAAGACTGCAGATGCTGGGAACGGGAGAGGCCTCATCAGCGTAAGTCTTAATGCGAATGCGGGAGTTGTGGCGCACGGAGAGAAGGTTGTAGACTATTTCGAAGCGTTGATCGCGGGTGGGGAAGTCAACGGCAGTTATGTCTGAGACTTGAGTGAATTCTGCGGCAGTATTATCTGGGAATGATCAGCATTGCGGCAAATTTGTATATTGGAAAGCTGGCCAAAGGGAGTGGCACACTTCTGAAAGATGGTCCGCACATTTGAGGAATGAAAATACAGGAATTACTCCAGATGGAGAAATGTATATAACAAGCTCGTCCTTCCATACTGAGAATTGTTGAATGTATTTTGGGAGGCATCCCATGAGCCATGATCCATATCTGTGCAAATCATCTGCCTTTGCTGCATATTTGTCTGCAGGATTTACAGGTGGAACACGGAGACCTCCTGGAACATCGGGAGATCTCTGAGCATGTCGCATGTTGGGAGTATCCGGGGAGACAACAACTCGAGCATGTTGTGTGGAGGCAAAGCTTCGAATATTGAACTTCCTGGGCTGAACTAAAGAATTCTTTGTGGATCTGATGGCGGAGGCCAAAGCCCGACTATTTGACACTCTCATCGCCATCTTAAAGCTTTGAATCTTGTGAAGTCCAATTGCAGAGGTTAGGAATTCATTGACGATGATATTCAGATTGGGTGCTTGATGATCCTGGGAGATTAGAGATGCTGCCTGAGGTTAAACAATGGAATCGAATCATGTACACAGCTTCCACGCTTACATAACCGAGTTTCTAGCGTGTACAAACCAAGAGCGAACGAACATGACTTTTACTCTCACTTATGATCCTCGAAGTTCCTACCTCACTCATCTAATTGATTCAATTTCGACTTCACAACAACACCATTACATTGCATAAATTTCTACATATCGATACCGGAGAATCACACTCTCACATCTAGAGTATTGATAATTTAAAAATACTCCAAACACTTAATACCACGCTGTATTCCTTTGCGCGCCACAACACCACTGCGTATCGGAACCAAATCCATACTTTCCTCGGATTTCGTCCCTTTTTTCCATAGCACATCTTAAGCCTTAGCAATGGCACCTCAGGATAGCTTCATCGATGAAGATGAGGATACATGGTACGTTGCCATATCTCTTGTTAATTTTATTCGGCTTGGGCGAATGATATCTTTGTGAACACTTTGCTAATCAAATTTCACTAGCCCACTCTGCGTCGAAGAATTCGATCTATCAGACAAGAATTTCCAACCATGCCCTTGTGGTTACCAGGTAACTTAACCACTATTGTCACTGTCTGCTGATTTGATGCTAATCGCCATCGCTTTAGATTTGTCAGTTCTGCTTCAACAACATTAAGAACAATATCAACGGCCTCTGTCCTGCCTGTCGAAGACCTTATGACGAGAAAACAATAAAATGGAAAGTTGTTACGCCTGAAGAGTATGTTTTCCGAAAGCTCCAAGAGGTTGACCTGCTGACCGCAAGTTAAATAGAGTCGCTCAATTTAAAGCCAATGTCCAAAAGAACGCTAAAAAGAAAGCCGAAATAAGGCAAAAAGAAGCCCAAAAGCGAGAAGTAGAAAGTTTAAATCGGAAGCATCTAGCAGGTTTACGAGTTGTACAGAAAAATCTAGTATATGTTGTCGGCCTTAGTCCAAGCATACGAGAAGACGAACTTCTTCAGACTTTACGCGGCGAAAAGTATTTCGGGCAATATGGGAAGATCATCAAGATCGTGGTCAGTAAATCTAAACAGAACGAGTCAGCCCAAAATGCTGGTTCTCTTGGAGTTTACGTTACGTTTGCTTCGAAATTAGATGCGGAACGGTGCATAACAGCGGTCAACGGTTCCTCAAACGGTGATCGAATTTTACGAGCGCAATTGGGAACTACGAAGTACTGTTCAGCATATCTGCGGAATGAGGTGTGCACAAACAAGCAATGCATGTTCTTACACGAACCAGGCGACAACGACGACAGTTATTCTAGGCAAGATTTGTCGTCCATTAATAGTGTGAACTCCCAACGACCTTTGCCGCCCAAGGCATCTTCATCCCGCACTCAAGCCCAAGCAGCACCACCAATTCAACAGGCACAACCACTGGCTGCCGCTGCACCACCAATGGCACGGGAAGCAAGTAAAGATGGTTCGGACAGTGGAGATGGTCCTGCACTTCCGTCAACTGCTAACTGGGCCAATCGTGGAGTACAGCAGCAACGCAGCAGAAGAGGAAGCCATGCCACGAGTGGTGCTGCCCCTAGTCCTGCTATCTCAAATGCCATTCCTTCTGCAACTGAAGCAGTCGAGGAAGAAACTCCTGAGCTTGTGGAAGACCAAGAGGAATCGTCTGGCGAAGCCAGCCCAATTGAAGCTCCAGAACCCAGCCCTCTTATTGAGGATGTGTCTCATCCTGTGGAGGAGCACCTTGGTGCCGAACTGCTCAGGTCGATTAATTCTGATGTGCTGAGTTGGGATGGCCCTAAAATTCACGAGGACGACCTCGCATCATTCCCGCCGCTCTTTGATGACCATGGTGGAGAGAAACGCCGTTTAATGCGCGAGCAGCAACAGGAGGAGGAACGTTTACACATGGAGCAGGAATCGCAAGCTGATGTTCAATCGGTACCTGAACCCGTGGAAGAACAGGAACCGGAAAGTGGTAGTCTGCAATTAGGTGGCGAGCCCGAAGATAATGGGCGGGAGATTAATCAACCTCCTGGATTCCAACGTCATCAAAGTTCGCAACTACCGATCCAACGAGGCTCCACCGCTGGTCCGTTTGGCCCAAGCCTTGGGCAACAACAAAACTATCCCCAGAATATCAGCAATTTGAGTTCTATTAACAGACGATCTCTCACTCCATTGCAACAGTCTCAACTTTCAATGTTCAAGACACCATCCGGTGTTCCATCAAGCTTCATGGACCATATTCCTTCTCCTGGTGGACTTGGAAATCCATTGAATCAGAATACTGCGCTTTTCCAGCAGCAAGGTCACAATAGACAATCTTCTCGATACAGCTTTGCTATGGATGGTGCCGCTGGACCGTCTTCCATCAAGCCTTCTGCCAATAGCAAAATGATGCAACAGCAAGCTTCAATGATGCCTCCTTCAAGTCATCCTCAGCAAGGATTTCAGTCTTTTAACTCTTCGATCCCAGCCCCTCCAGGATTGTCAGGTCTGAAATCTAACACTCCCCCAATTGGCGGAGGTATGTTTGGCCAAGGTCATGGATTTGGTAACTCGATGGGTGGTGGTTCGGCATTCGGAAATGCCAACAAGGAGAATAGTAATGAGATGCTTCGTGAAATGCTAAGGGGTCGCCCTAGTGCTGGTGGCAACCAGGGTATTGATACAAGTAAGCGTGAGTACATGTTTCCTAATTTTCTTCATCAACAGTTCCCATCTGCCTCCTCCACTCCAGCTCCTGCTTCAAACCTTCTGGCATCGCTCTACGGTCCTCAGACCGGAGCATTTCATGACTTCGGTCAAAAGCAGAAGAAGAAGGGAAAGAAGCACAGACATGCTAACACTTCCTCCTCTGGGGGAGGTGGCTTAGTCGATCTTGCGGACCCAAGTATCCTGCAGGCGAGAATGCAGCATCAACAACAGAGCAATGCCGGAGTCGGACAGGGACTGTTTGGTGGTCAGGCTCAAGGTGGGTACAACCCCAACCTGATGTATGGCGGAGGAGCAGGTTTCCCCGGCAGGTGGTAGATGACCATGTTAATCGGGTGTAATATTTGGCGTGGCTTTTGTAGATAATGATCTCTTTCTTTTTTCATTTTACGAGGACGGCGTTGGCAAAAACCCTTCAAAGGATATTGCATTGTTGCTAGGTATAGCACACATTTGTTTTAGCGGGCATGGCATAGCTCCAAGATGGATGCTTCGGATGCATTGGCGTCACATTGCGTTTGGAAAATGAGTGAGAGGACCTCATGGGATTGCTGCCATCGTTTCTTTTCTGTTTCTTTCGTTTGGGGTTGCATCAAGGTCAAAACAAGTCACGCCGGGAGTTCCATCATCGTCTTCACCGCGGCCGCTTTCTCTCATGTACGTTATAGTCCCCGATCCCAGGCCAACAACAGTGGCTGGAAAAATATATCATTCTTACATATTTTATATATTCGGTAGCCCGCTCTTTCAATTATCGAAGACGATGATGGTTCGTGATGTGACCGTGTCCCTGTCCTGTAGTAGCATTGTGTACTGACCGATGTTGATGTTGCTGCCACCTCGCCTGCCCACTTATCATTGCACATGTGTTTACTTGGAAACGACACGCTAACATTTACTTTCTTTAGTAGATCCAACTTTCGATGAAAGCATTTCGCACAATGTCGACGCTTTAGTGTCAGATAGTGTACCGGATGACTTACCCATGAACTATGGCGAGATATCGCGAGATGTGTCCCGGTCGAATACTCCCGCTTTCCCACCTGGTCTACCAAATCCTCATGGGCATCCTCCTCCAGCAATCCGGGAAGATCCAATCGGAAAACCTTCTAAGGCACTTCCAATGGTTTCGCCATTCACGCCATCGAGACAGTCTAGCATGTCACACCCTCTTCGTGTTGCTACCCCCCTTGCCATGTCATTGCCTTCAACGCCTTCTCCAGTAAAATCAAGAATTTCGCCCGTCCCTGTTTCTGAAGCACCAGCACCTCAATCGCAAGCAAAACAAGAAATCAAAAGCACTGCTACAACGTCTGGTATTTCAAAAGAAATCGTAGCTCAGTCTAGTACAGCCCCTGTAGCTCCTGCAACTCCTTTGCTCTCCGCGGCAGTTACTCCTGTAACACAGAGAAATCTCTCTACCGAAGAGTATCCAGCTCTTGGAGCACAGAAAGAAGTCAGACCTCCCACATCCAGGAAAGTGTCAAAAGCTGTTACCTCGTCTTCCAAGGCGCCATCTACACCCAAAATCTCGAATGCCCAAAAGAGTGCTAAAGCAGGCGAGAAGAAACCAACACCAGCTGTTTTGACTATTCCCCCTTCCACAAAACTTGATCCTAAGTTGTCGGGCGCTATTGAGACGCATGGTAAAAGCACTCCCTCGACAGCAGAATTTCCTTCGTTGCCAGCAGCTAAATCTATTCCATTGAGAACCATCAAGGTCACGCAGACACCGAAGGCTGAGGTGATTCCAACGGGAAGCCCTGCTCCAACTTCTGCCACATCTGCAGCTCCATACCCTGCACACCCTCCTGATACCCCCAGTGAGCAAGATAATGCGTCAATTATGTCGGCGACAGCTTCGAGAGCTAGCTCTCCTGCTCCATCTAGGAATGGACAGCCGTTAACCCAAAAAATCAACACGGCAAAAAGAAATAAGATTAAGGCACAGAAAAAGGAAACTGCTCTTGAAGCTCAAATGGCAGCTGCAGCTGAATCCAAGCGCACCGAGGGAGAACAACCTCCGGTTTTGGGCAGGAAGATGAAGGTAAAGAAGGAGAAGACGAAGGCTAGCAGTGGCGTCAGTGGATCTACACCGGCGCCTAGCAGACCAGTTTCGCCACCCCCTGTGATTACTGCCCAAGAGGAGATTAAAGCTGCGGAATCTGTTACATCGGAGAAGCCTGTTTCATCGGGTAGCGATAAAGCTGTCAGTAAGAGTGAGGCTAAGGGCAAAAGCAAGGCTAAGGCACAACAAGCTTCACCGCCACCCGAGCCACCACGAGCTCCTATTGTTGAAGACGAGGAGCTTCCAGAGAAATTCACACCTCCGACTCCAACACCAGCCAGCGTCGTTCAAGAACTTGAAGGTGAGGGAGCACTGAATATGTCGGAACACGTATTTTTGAAAACACCCATTGGTGTCAATAATGAGAAGAAGAGAGAGAAGGATGCTGTTGTCCTATTGGAATCAAACCCGAAGCTCAATATAAGTCCAGAAGAGCGGGCTGAACTAAATGCGGGAAAACCTGTTCACAAGATAGCTTCAGGATCAATTCGAATCATGCTGACCCCCAATGGTGACTGTGTTCGCAATCTCACCGCCGAGGAAGAAGAGCGATTCTTGGAGCTCCAAGCAAGACTTGCAGCCGATGCTGGACCCACTGCGTTTATCTCCGCAAAGCATAATGCAGGCACCGGATTCAACCTGGTTGGCGGTCGAGCTGTTCCAAACGGGCTTCCTTCGTACTTTCCACAAACAACTGCTAGCAATACTGCACCTTTGGATGCGGTAAGCAAGATCCAACGTGATGAAGCTTTGAGCTATATCAATCAATACGTCTTACCATCTCTCTCTAACAACGCCCAGTTAGAAAAAGCACTCAGTGCGAATGCTCTGTCGGGTGACATGTTACAAGGAAGCGAGTTGTCCGGCTGGGCACCTTTGAATCCAAACTCTCCCGAAAATCAAGATTTCCCTTACGGCAGTTCACCTGGCGATGGCAGTAACCTCGATACGGGAATCGCAAATATGACAGCGTCTCTTACAGGAGGGCGGGATCTTCTTGATCGCGGACCGACGTCTCAAAATGTTCAGTTGCTGAATGAAAAGGAATCAGAATCTGCAATGCAGATTGCAAAGAAAGAGACACAGGAGTTGGAGAAGAGACTGCTCGCTGTGTTGAAGAAGAATAGGAAGATATTGCTAACAGGACATTAATGGACTGTTCTTCTAAAAGACCGAGGTTGATAAGATGAAAGGACACTGGAATGATGACGACACAACGAAGTGTTTGATTGTTGCGTATGTTCATCTCTGTATCGATACCTGTATATCTGATATGATGAGGGTGGAATCACGGCATAGTGTATAAGTACGAGTGGTATGGAAATATGGACACGAAATGTGCAAGTGGTTGTTCATACACCGCAGGCACAGATTACTTATAGCCTTAGTTGTATGATTTAGAGTGCCGATGACAATAGCATTGGCAACAGCGTCAAGTTTATCGATTTATTAGCATAGCGTAGCATAGCATAAAAAAGCATGGCAAAGCATAGCGGAATACCAATCACAATACCTGCACAGCGAGGTTTGTTTTCTTCAAGATTGCATTGTGACTGTAATGAGAGTGAGGATTCTTGCATGAAAGATCTTGTATGGATTCATACGTGCCATTCTTACAATACTAGGTAATTTGTAAATTATTTTTTAAAATCATACTTCTATCAAACTCCATCGGACAGCAATCCATCTTCACTTGATAACCAACCATACAAGTAATAAGTTGGAGAGTCCCACGTGGAGAGATTAATAATCCCTGTTCGTGAAATCTTTGGTGGGGCAGAGCCAGAGCCAGGGACGACAGTGTTGGCGGGGTAGTAGAAAAAAAGCTGAACCCAAACTGACCTTGTTGATTTTTATCTTTACTTTGAAGTCGCCATACATACGAGTATTTAACTCGTTACAAGTTGCTATCTATTCTTCAATCTTTAGTTTTCTTGTAATTTACGATAAATACCTCGAAAGATAAGTCAATATGGTGGAATCACTCCCTACCACTTTCTCTGGTATGTAAAAGATTATACCTCTCCATTGATCGATCTGTGTCTTTGTTTACTCCCATTCCTTTCCCCATCCCGTCCAAACCCGCTCGTTTAATCAATCCCTCAAACAAACTAATCACCATTCCATAGACTCCGTCCACATCGCCGTAATCGGTGGCACCGGTCTCCAATCCCTCGAAGGTTTCATCCCCATCGCAACCATCAACCCCCTCACCCCCTGGGGTTACCCCTCCGCCCCCATCCACATCCTCTCGCACAACAACACACCTATTGCCTTCCTCTCCCGCCACGGCACCCACCACGAACTCGCACCGCACGAAATACCCAACCGCGCCAACATCGCCGCGCTCCGTAGTATGGGCGTCCGAACCATCATCGCCTTCAGCGCGGTAGGAAGTCTGCGCGAGGAAATCAAACCCCGCGATTTCGTGGTGCCGGATCAGGTTATAGATCGCACGAAGGGTGTGAGACCTTTTACGTTTTTCGAGAAGGGTGTCGTGGGTCATGTGGGATTTGCGGATCCGTTCGATGAGAGGATTGCAAAGGTGGTGAGGGAGTGTGGACATGCGCTTGAAGGGGAGGGAATCGTGTTGCATGATAAGGGGACGATTATTTGCATGGGTTTGTGCTTCCATTTTCCTTACTGAGTACTTTCTTCATCTACAATAACTATATACTAACTTCTCTTCCACTAATAGAAGGGCCCGCCTTCTCCACCCGCGCCGAATCGCACATGTACCGCTCCTGGGGCGGCTCCGTAATAAACATGTCAGCGCTCCCGGAAGCCAAACTCGCCCGCGAAGCAGAAATGGTCTACCAAATGATCTGCATGGCAACCGACTATGACTGCTGGCACAGCACTGCTGATGTGGATGTGGAAATGGTAATGGGACATATGCACGCCAATGGACAGAATGCGAAACGACTCGTGGGAGCCGTCTTGGATGCGTTGAGTAAGCAGGAACATAGCGAGATGGTGTTGGCGAAACATTGGGAGGGGAACACGACGGGCATGATTAAATTTATGACGAAGGCCGAGGGAAGGGGTGAGGAGGGAAAGAAGAATGTAGAGTTTTTGTTTCCTGGGGTGTTTGATGCGTAGGGTTGTTAGAAGTATAGAACTAGTTGAGCGAGCTAGATGTGTGTGGAGATGCGGGGGATATTGATGCAAGGGATAGATGGGAGATTAGATACCTGGTGCATCAACTGCATATATATACATATGAGATATATAGACATGCGATGGAGTACAATAGACTCTATTCGGAGGAGAAAAAACAAGCCGGAATTGGCTAATGCACAGCAACACCAAATTTGGCGAGGGCGCACATACCATTTCGCGTGGTCAATATCGGCCTGTTATTTCTCCTCCGAATAGACACTCCATCTTTTTTAGAAGTCATAAATAAATTGCTCATTCTAACACATTAGTTGCACAACGCATTTTCCCATCACATCATCACATCAAGTATCAATCCTCAGAAATCATTGAAGACGTATCCTATTATCACCTCAAGTTTATACCAAATTCCTCCCTCTCCTTCGTTATTTTCCTTCGTTTATTTTCCTAATCCCAATCACCATCATCATATAAACAACCCATTTCACCCACCCAAGCACAAATTCACAATGGGTAACCAACCATATACATATACAAAAAGAGGTACCCGGGGTATCTATCAACATCCCAAAAGAAACAGCTGCACGATTCCGTCCCATCCAATCTAAATCCACGATTCCCCCAAACTCTCCTAGCCGCAACGATAATCCATTAAACCAACATGTACAAAGCCTTGACTGCCTTTTCTGCCGCAGCAACATGCCAGGGCCTTCCATCTCTCACAGGATGCACCACGCCCCTAACCCTCGCTAGAGTAGCTAGTCCCCTGTAATAGCCCAAGATTTCCCTCAACAAAGTATCATGAAAAGTGCGCGGGTTCCCCACAACTTCCGCATGAATAATATTGACTTCCATTACTAAGGGCGGGTCATCGGTGTTGGTACCGCTGTTTTTGATAAGGTAGCCGGAAATCAGAGCAGGGTTAAATTCGAGGAGGGAATTTGAGTTGTTGAGGCGATGAGAAAGGACGGCGCCCCAGGTTTGATCCGTGATGTCGAGGAGGCGGGAGTTTTGATCTGGTTCATGAGGGACTGCGGGTGCTTCGGAAGGGGTAGGAGCGTTCGTTGTTGAGTCACGAGAAGGTGTGGATGGGTTGTCCGGGGAGAAGATGGACGACTGAGATGCTTGAGGTGTGGAGACGGGGGTCGTGGCGGACTGTGTTGTTGTCATCGATGGAGGTGGTATCCTTGTTTGTGGAGGTAATATCCGTAATGATGGATCTGTCTGTACAGTGACTAGTGTGAGGCTGATTGAAGCGTTAGATTCTGTGGAGGCAAGACCTGTCCAGAAATCAATCTCGGGTTGTTCCATTACAGCTGTTTTCGCAATAATTATCCGCCAGTGGACCTTTTTGCTCGAGATCAAATCAAGAGTCGTTTCCCAGATTTCGTTCGCAATGTCTGTAAAGAGAAGAGTGAATGGCTCATTCTTTCGGCCAAGACAATATGAAGCGGTCATTTGTTTGGTACCCCTATTATCTGACCATGCCGCAGTAATCCAACGTTCATCAATACTTTGAGAGTAAGCAATATGAAGACAAGAATTTTCTTGTAACAATGCTGGCGATGGATTGACGTGCAACTTGAAGTCAATATTTCGTGGGAGGGGTTTCTCTAGAAGAATCGCTGCTGTAGTGGAAGATGATGCAAAATCTACACATCGATCATATACTTCCATTGCGAGACGCGAATATTCCGCTGGCGATGGCACTACTAAGGAGTTAGGAGCAGCCATGAAATCTAACGGCACAAGCTGCAACACCAGTTCGTTGACAGCTTTTAGCTTCTTTTCAGACAACGACTTCCTATAGAACTTAAACAAGTGCTTGAAGGCAGCGCAGATATTTACCAGCAGAAACGAATTGTCGATAGGGTAAACGAAGTACACAACGATATTTTTCTCTTCCGCAGTCATACTTGAAAGGTTCTTGCTCAATTGCGCCATTATATCCTTAAGAGAGCTTAGACAAGCTACAGCATTCGTATTGGCAATCCCTTGATTGCATTCATCATTTGGATAATGTATGAGCCCTTTGGGTGAATCTGGAAACACAATTCTGTCGTGCCCACCAAACCTGAATGATTCATACGCCCCTCGCATTTGGTCGAGGAAAATATCCGCATTCTCGGTGATGCCTACGATATCCGGATAGATGCAAATAGCGTTAACATCTTTGTTTCCTGTGAAAGGCGCCAAGCCCAAATTATCCCAAAAGTGTATCGCTGGAGGTAGAACCGCCAACTTAGAGTCGCCTCTGCGTACTTCAAGCTGCGGGGGTTGAACGGGAAACAGGTTGCTCGATCTCAAAATTTCTGTGTTCTGTGCTGCCCTAGGATTTGGCATTGGTCTGGGAGGTAGACGCAGGGCCGGGTTTACGACGGGGATTCCTGGAATGGTAAGATATGACCGCAGGGTACATCTTTTAACATCTTTCAAGCATGTTTTAGTAGCTTTCAGGACCGCAGTCATCAATCTTCTAGTAGCAAATATAGCCTGGGCATGAGTATCCGCATTTTGACTAATTTGATCATTTACCCTAAGGTTCCCTGATGCAGCCTGGTCTGCGATAATTTGAGCCGTTTCGATCAAATCTTGATCCGATAATCCACTAGGCTGAATGTCGGGTTCGGGGGAGGTGAAATATGGCGTCAGAGACCAGTCTGCAGGGTCAGATTCGAAGATTGGAACCTGTGGCTCAACTATGGATTGAGGAGTCGCCGGAGATGGCTCATACTCTCCGGTGAAAGCATTGTATGAGCTGATGCTACCTTCGTCAAAATAGCGTTTTCGTTTCATGCCAAGTCTAACCATAGCAGAAAGCCCTACCGGGAGTGTCTCGTCGGAATCAGATGCTTCGCTAACACTGTTAAAGTCATTGGCCATGTCTGATTCCACCTCGTTATCTAGCTCGAACTCATATTGCCCACTTTCATTGTTCAAGATTTGAGTCAGCACCTCAGACCCTGAACGTTTGTTCTCGCTTTTCCGCCTGTCAAGAGATTCTGGGTTGGTAGGATCGTGCGGATCTATGAGCTGTGGTTTTAACTCATCCTCGGTATATCGAAATCGCCCGTGAGAACCGTATTTCTCGTCGATCTCAGCCAGTGAATATTCGAATTTGACTTTATCAAATACACTGGATCCGCTATTTAACTTTGAGGTTCGTTTTACCAGCTGCCCGAATACTGTTTCTTTGTCGAAAGGTGCCATAATGCGTGGTGGCGACCGTGGTGGAGCAGGACATACCAAGCTGTCATTAGTATTGGACATTTCAACATCCATATCCTTTGCTGGTTTTGCGAGGCTCTGTTTTAAGACTGATTGCCGCAAACTGTTTTCTACCGGCTGAGCATCCTCCATGATCGTATCCTGAGATACTGCCTGAGGTACTGACGGCTTACTCGAAATGGGTGACTTTTCACTAATGTTACGTTGATGAGCTGAAGGCAAGCAAGCCGCAACTGGAGAACCTGGCGGAGGGTCCATTTGCATATCATCAGGTTGGTCGAAAAAGTTAAAGTCCGCGTCTGTGATGTCCGTGTCGCCAAACAAGTCACCTCCCATCTCTCCAAAAAGATTATCATTATCATTATCGTTTTCGCTAAAGTTCATGTTAGAATTTGAGCGATGCTTTTGTTCTGAAGTCACCCAATGCTCAGTGTCGATAGTATTCATGATAGAGGTGCTTGGATTTGCCGCTTCAAGATCATGCGAGAATAAGTGCGCTGGGTTCCCCGGCGTTGTGACTGCACCATCAAATGAGGGTGTTGGTCCCCCGGGATGATGTACGGCATCAGGAGGCGTAGGGTACATTGCGCCAGCATTGTTGCCCTTTTCCATTAACGCAGCGGAATTGACATTTGCTTGAATATTTTGTGCCTCCCTATCAGCCTGTTCTTTAGCAGCCTCTAATATCTTCCGCTCCTGCTGTCTATTCAATATAATGCTCGCCTGTTTCTCCGCATTCATGGACCATTCCTCAGCAAAAGTTAGAGGATCAACATGCCCGAAAGAGTCCGCGTTTAAAGGCTGAAGGTCTGTAGAAGAAGTTTTGACGGCTCTGAAGCATAGTAAAGCTGGCCAAGGTACAATAGCGCCCTCGTCGGGGAAGGGCATATCCGCGTACTCAGGGTTTGAAAACACATGATTAGTGTTCAGCACCTGGACAAACATCCAACCACCTTCCTCGATTGAAGTTGGATCAAAACCCTTAGTCGATAACCAGTCTAAACACCGGGACTGCCATGACTTTATCGTAGTTCCGTGGAAGCGCCAGCTCTGATCTTCAGGATATTTTTGTAAATCTGAAATAGGCTGAATACTGGGTAGCTGCTCGTCATCATAAAATGAGTAGAATTTCGCAGGATTTCCCCCTGGTGCTAACCATAACTCAGTTCCCTGGGATAAGATCCTTTGGAGCTTTTCTGGATTTGACAGACTTATACTTTGGAGACCAGGAGTAACGTAAGAACAAGCTTTTATCAATAACGTCCCCAAAGAAGTAAGATTGATGTCTAAGTTGACAAGACTGACTGCGTTGTCGGAAACTTTGGGTGATTGATAATATGCCATTGATCTCGACGGCGATTGTGAGGGGAAAAGTAACGTCCGTGAGTTGAGAGGAATAAATCCATGGTCACTGCAAAGCCTATGTACAATTGAGCCCTGAACGGATGATATGAAGTGCTCTTGAACCTCTTTTAGAAACGGGAGTGCATCGGCTGAACCGGTTGCCGACTTGACACCAGGAGATGATGCTGCCGGATCATATATATTCTGGGCTGAGTTCGCTTGCATGGTCCTAGCATTGACATTTTGTGCATTTCGTATTGTATTGTCGAGTGGCGAAGGCGAAGATGTGCTAGTCGGTGTGTTCAAGCTAGTGGGCATTATAGACTTGTTCGGGGCCAGATTGGATGGCTCATACATCCCTTTGTCTTTCTTCAATAACTCGACACCATGCACAGCGGGAAGATTGGCCTGGCTTAGCAATTCGTCCCCTTCAAGAGGTTTATTTGGGGAATTTGGACTTGGCTGGAAGACCCAGATTCCCTCCCGCTTTGTGTCGTAATATACCAGGGCGCCATGTCTCCTCCATACGGTCTCAACATCTTGTAAATGTTTTTTTGTAGTTGTAGAAGAAGGTGTTTGCGACTGGGCTTCAAAATATTCATAGGCTATTGATGCAAAGTTGTTCTGGGTACATGTAATTAGCTACTCGGTTTTTCGAGTTCAACCAAGTAATATGACTTACACAAGACAATACATTGGTGAGTTGATCGCCGAGATCCATATCGTAACAGGTCGTAATTCATAAAATGGACATCCAGAACAACTGATGCAATGCGCCGATCCCCCCCTCCTCCACAACAAGCTAAATCCCCCCTTTAAACACCCCAAATGATGCCTGGTATATATTCAAGTAAGTTTGGTGAGGATTTTTTCAAGTTAAATCGGTATATTGTAGCTGTATGAGTCGGGGATCTTGAGCTGGACTCGCAGGGCTCCATCTCAAAACGAAGATGTCGGCTGTCGCAGTGGCTGGCTGTTCAGCAAGGTGAGACTAAATGTTGTAACGAGACAAAAAGCAATCAAAGGACAAGTATAGCATAGAACGGTAGGAGAATTGAATATAGTAAAAGCATTGAGACGATATATTGCAATCATCCGACTTCTTAAGGATGCTGCTGGTATACCACATCTATTAAAAGTACTTTGGGAGAAGCTTTGATAACATGTTCGGACCATGTTAAGGTCAAAATTACCGATTACTCGGACTAAGGAAATGCACTACACTGGATCTGCCAATTCGTTCGAACAGGCTAAATTTCATGATTCACCCATGTCCAAAGTTGATTATCCGCTGTCGGCCGCCGGCGAAAAGAACCCCCGAGGCCGAACGATAAGAAAATAATTTTATTCTGGAGCCTTTTGAATGCGACATCTTTCACAATATGGCAAACTAACTAGTATTTTATTAAAATTCAACTTCTTTTGGCCTATTAGTTGCCATCATGAAGCTCACGAATTCAAGTGAGATACCGGTATACACCGTCTCAGGTGCTTCTACTGCACGCCCTCTACCTGACTGGCTTGCTCGCAAGAGAAAGCGCAGCTTAAAAAATGATCCAGAATATGCCAATCGTGTCGAACTTTTACAGGATTTCGAGTTCGAAGAAGCTAGCTCTTGCATAAGAGTTAGTGAGGATGGCGAATGGGTTATGAGTACCGGCACATACAAACCGCAGATTCACACACACTACCTTCCCCATTTATCTCTTTCGTTCGCAAGACATACCACAACTCTCAACCACTCCTTCATTCTTCTGTCTAATGACTACACGAAGTCGCTTCATCTACAAACCGACCGCAGACTGGAATTTCATACACAAGGTGGATGCCATTACCAAACTCGACTACCTCGATATGGGCGCGACCTTGTCTACGATAGAGCCTCAACGGAAGCATTTATACCTGCCGTTGGTGTCAATGCAGATGGTCTTGGTGAAGTTTACCGATTGAATCTCGAGATAGGACGCTATATGAAACCATACCAAATCGAGGTTGGTGGTGATGACCTTACAACTTCTGGTGGCGGTGCTTTGCAAGGAGGCATTAATACTGGTAGTGTCAATTGCGCAGCAATTGCCGAGGAAAGTCATAACCTGATGGCTTTCGGAACCTCAATTGGTACGGTAGAGTTTTGGGATTCAAGATCCAAAGCAAGAGTAGGGATTCTCGGTGCTCGAAAAGGGCAAATCACTGCGCTTGATTTCGATAGGTCAGGTATTTCAATTGCGACGGGATCCTCGGAGGGAATTGTACAACTCTATGATCTTCGACGACCTGTGCCAATATTGACTAAAGACCAAGGATATGGTTTTCCGATTAAGACTTTGATGCATATGACTACATCTTCACAGGAGAAGAAAATTCTGTCCGCAGATAAACGAATCATCAAATTGTGGGACGAGATGGACGGCAAAGCTTGGACTTCAGTTGAACCAGCGGTCGATATCAACTCAGTAGCTTGGTGCAAGAACAGTGGCATGCTTCTCACAGCCAATGAAGGCAAACAACAGCATGCCTTTTTCATTCCACAATTGGGTCCTGCGCCGAAATGGTGTTCATTCCTGGATAATATGGTTGAAGAAATGGCAGAAGAAGCACCAAGTGAAACGTACGATAATTACAAGTTCTTGGAAATACCAGAGCTCAAGGCGCTCAACCTGGGTCATCTCGTGGGAACTACAAACCTTTTACGACCATATATGCACGGTTACTTTGTAGCCAATAAGCTCTATGAGCAAGCCAAATTAATTGCCAATCCTTACGTCTTCGAAGACGAGAGAAACAAACGAGTTAAGGAGAAGATTGAGAAAGAGAGAGCTAGTAGAATCAGAGGTGGCAAGAAAGTCAAGGTCAATCAGAACCTGGTTGACAAAGTACTCAAGAGACAGGAACGCAGGGAGAAGGTTGATGAAACTGCTGGAGTCTTGGGTGACTCACGTTTCGGCAAACTTTTCGAGGACGAAGACTTCGCTGTTGACGAGCGTAGCAGAGAGTTCCAGGCTCTTAACCCTAGTACCAAGGTTGGTGGTGGTGAAGAGACAAAACAACGCAAGGTAGATAGTGAGGATGAATCGAGCGACGATGAGGAAGATGAGATCATTTCGAAGCCTAAGCCAGCTCCTGAGATGCGTATCTCTTCCTCGTCTTACAAGAAATCCGGACATCAACGTAAAGACAATGCTCTGGGAGCTCGTAAGCAAGGCACTGGTCGAGTTAGTAAAAACAGGGGTGATGTTGTTGGCGAGCGTTCAATCACATTTGCTCCTGCTAGCAAGAAGGATAAGGAGAAGATCGAGGTCAAGCCTGCAAACAGTAGAAGTAGACGGGAAGATGCAAGACGAAGCGCCAGTGGAAATGTTTTCAGAAGATTGTAATTGTCCGAAGATAAGACTTCATGATACCCCTTTCATAATACAAAATCTTCAAACCTCAGGAATTCGGATACCTGCAAACTATGCCCCAACAGAAAACAAATACCATTATTCGCAGAATGGCGAGGCGATCCATATATTTTATCCTTTTCATATCATTCATCCCATGGGTATCAAACATTAAAACATCAGAACACAAAACTAAAGCCGTTTCAGCAGCCATCATCACCTATCATCTATCACTCCTCACTTTCCTCGCCCATTTCGATTTTGGCGCTTCCGACAACTCGAATTCCATCGTCTTTCCTTCCCCTTTCTCAACATCGTTCACACTCACGAATGTCTTCGATAATTTTGGCGTGGGCGGCACTTCGTCAATTCTCTCCAACCCACGATTACTAGGTCTCTTATGCGCATCCTTGCCGAATGTAGCTCTTCTGGGTGTTAATGCAACAGCTACTTTGCGAGCCGACGCACGTAGTTTCTTGCGCACTTCCCAGGAACGCTTTTTGGCTAAATAGAAGAGTGTTGCTGTGATTACTGTTTGAAGCGTTAGCTTGCTGGTTTTTCTAGGGGAACAAGAGAAGGGGAGAAAGGATTTTGTACTTCCAAAAATACACACGCCAATGATGGCAACAATAATCGCAATCAAAGCTCCGGTCGACAACTGTACGCCCCCACTCGAAGTCCCTGATGCTCCCGCATCACTATCAACACCATTGCTTCCAGCTGAACTTGCGGCATCACCTGCAGATGGGTCATTAGGGGCAGAAGGTTCTGAAGTAGCGAGCGCGGAGAAAAATGATGCGACGGAGCTGGAGGACATGGCTGGGGTGAGCGATATAGAGGTTGTTGAGGATGGTGTTTCTGTTGTGGATGATTGGGGAGAATTTGTACTTGATATTGACGTGGAGACGGGACTTGCGGTAGAAGTAACAAAAGAACTTTGTGCAGAAATTCTACCCAAAAGAAAAAAGAGGAAGAAAAAAGTAAAGGAAACTCGAAGATTGAAAATGTCCTTCATAATGAAATAAAATAATCCTTGAATCAATTTCCAAATGTGAAAACGCTAGACCCTTACTAAAGAATTGCAAAAAACCAGTAATGTTCAAGTGTGACTGGAGGAGGGGGAAAATTTAATGAAACTCCTGACGCTGTGATAGTGATAGTGGCATACAGAAATGATACAAAAGCAAAAGCACAAAAAAAAAACGACAAATCAAATAGTCAATGAAGAGAGATGAGTGGTGTGATGAGATAATGGGCGGAATGAGAATGTGGAATCTAGGTTCATATATCTACTAGGTAGGTATATCTTTTTCCATTTCTAGGTGTGTGTGTAGATGGATGTAAGCGCTTTTGTATGGTAATGCTACACTCTTCGAATTCTTTGCTTGTAAAATTACTACGGAGACATGAGTATCATGGTATCATTGGTGTGGGTGGTCGCTGAATAGGTGTAAGATGTGCATATTTAATATTTAATATTTATTTTCGGTCTGAAAACTCATCTGTTATGTAACCTTACTGGATATGGGTATGGTAGATAGAGTTTGGGGTTGGATGTATGGAGGGTTTTTTCGGTGGTTTGATTTGTTGAGGATGGAGATTTAAGCGCTTGCTTTTTGGCGCTAGGGGGACTGATGGGTTGGTTATTTATGTATGTTAGGTGTGAGTGATTGCCGAGATTTTTTGCGGGAGTGAGAAGGTGATGGTTTGGGAGTGGTTGTGGATGATGATGAGATGCTGGGTCGGTACATAAAGAGGTGAGACGGTAGAAGTTGGTGAGTTGATGAGGGGTGGTATGCGGATTGGTCGTGACGTGACATGACATTTTGGGATGTGTAATCCTATGCATTCTATGTTTGGTATTCAATCGGGTATTTTACCGATGCTAGATATGACTCTGGAGATACTGGAGAAGATATATCAATGTATGAATGTATGTATGAATTGAATGCAATATACGCTGATAAGATATTTTTATATCCGGTTGCTTGCATAGAGCAAGTATACAGCATACAATATTCAATTACTCCGCAAGAGGTTCGGGTGTTATTGATTGGATGCAGATTCAATATAATAAATGATTTGGTCGAGCTGGGAAGTTATTTTTATAGTAAGATGCGTTTCGGCTGTTGAGGTTCCGTAAGGGCCTTTTTGGATAATGAAAGTCGTGGGATTGTGGTTGGTGTAGAGGAGGGTTTCTGTGTTCGGGTTGTTTTGTGTGGTTTGTTTGATATAAGATTTGAGGTACGTTTCGTTGTGTTTGGAGGTTTGGACTGGTGAAGTGATGGGTTTCTTCAAACGGATTCACATGTCGCCGTTACGTGGAGTGTTTGGAGAGTTTTTGTGTCGGCTGGTAGGTATAATGTTCACATTCATGATTCTACTTTCATACCTAACTTTGACTCTAGCAGACGATGGGCTTGGATCTTAAAATAGATGTGAGAATCAGAATTGACATGACTTGCAGGCTAATTTAATATTTAAGGAGGGCACAGTAATGCATTGCTTACCTATTTTCGGGCGTTGGTAATGTTTTTATATTAACTGATGCATCATTGATTTCAACCACCACCTATCTATCGGGTAGGTTCTGCATACCAATTCATCTCGAAGTCGAGAAATTTAATAATCACGCGTTTGTCACGTGCTTTGAACTCGAGTCGAAAGTATATCTTCATTTATCATGAGGACATCAAGAGAAATGAAACCATATTTTCTAATCATTTATGTTAAGAGGCTGTCTCTTCATGATGCTGTGTGTTCTCTATATTCAAATTATAGGTGAGGTCCAATAATGACTGCATTTGACTGGTGCAGCCGAATGTCTACAGGAAAGGAAGGAACGAAGATGCTCCTGCCTTCACGGTCAAATTCACACATTGTGTGCCCAAGTTTTCTCTACCCCACATTTGTCTCCTCCTCATTGTCTAATCTCATCTTACAAACCTCAATCAATCAATCTTCTCTTCACCTTCGCACACTTTCGTTCCATTCATCTAGTCCGCTATACAGTTGAAATTTCATACTTCATATCCTCATCGTTTCATTTATCACTTAAATCAAAGCCTCGTGTTCCAGCGAACAAACGAACGAAGGCGAATTGGTGAGATTGTTCGCCCTTCCATCTGAGCATTTCAAACCCGATCCTACAAAAGTTTCAATGACTTTTTGCATGGTCGTCACTTTTTGCGTATAACTACTCTTTTGTCTCTTTCCAGGTATGAAATCATTACCTCAAAATTCGTTTAATACTTATGAATATTTTAGTGTTCATCTTCGTCGAGATGGCATTGAACCTAGAGGAGCAGGAGAGTCAGATCGTGGCTCCGCTACATTCTCCCCCCCCAGAGCAAATGTATCTGGACGAGGCATTTCCGGGCGGTGCAGATGGCTATCATAATGGAGGCGGTGAACAAGACTTCGATTCTGATGACGAACAAATAGATGACACTGATGCTGAGGCGGATGAAATGGATTTGGATCCACAACCAATTCCCCAGCAAGACAGCAATGAATCTTCCGTCAACGAAACTCAATTTGTAGACATTGAGAAAGATACTCAAGCAACACGTCATCAAGAGGAGTCTGTTGAAAAGGATACGCAAAATGCCGATTTTAGTTATCGATCCTTTGTTGAAGAGACACAATATGTAGGTATTGAGATAGATACACAAGCTACAGAAGATACCCCTCGTTTTCCAGGTTCAGATCCATCATTTCAGAGACAAGATATCCTTGAAAATGATAAACCATCCACTAAAGCCATCCATCATACCGATATGTCGCCACCCAAATTCATATTAAAACCCAAAATCCCAGAAGAAGCTCCTTTCAAATTTGGTATTCCAGCACATACGAGAAGGAATCGGGTGCCGACAGTTCAGAATCTATCCACATCAAAGGTTGCATCTCAACCGGAGACAACCTTATTACCCGGAGGTTAGTTATATCTCAAGGAGTTATTAAGTTGCCAGTGTAATAATAGCATACTGACGTAATGCCAGCCACTCTCATGCCCGATTCTCGCAGCGAACCTTCAACACAAATCTTACAGTCTACACAAAAGGCACTTTTTAGAGATCATGAAACTGCTGTTACTCATTCTGTTTCCGATAAATGTGCTGCTGTACCTGTCATGTCAGTTATTGAGAAGGAAGCAATCCGTCCTGCTGAAAACATGGAGTTGGTCGAGCAGGTATCCGATGGCCGCAATTTACCCTTACTAAGTTCGGTTTGCCCTCCGAGAGACACCCTTTCCACGACGTGCAACAGTTCTAGACACCCACAAATGCCTCATCATGCTAGCTCATCTGCAAAGACTCAGGTGCCAGAGAGAGAAGCTATCCAGAACAATTCGGCAACTTTTCCACTTCAAATAACTACTAAATGTTCCGCGGATCCATCGCTCCAGACGAAAGAAGGTATGGCAGCCCCTGATAATATCTTCTCGCAGTCTGCAAGTGGCATTGGTTCATCAAAGGATGAGAACACTTTCGATAAACCAAATAAATTGTCGGTACTAGGAACTTCTCACAATCATCAATCTAAACCAGCCCGGCCACCTTTAACTCTGCAAAACACTGTTACGCCGCCACATGCTTCACAACGTCCCAAGATGAGACAAAAGTCATCAAATCAGTAAGTGCACTCCTGTTCTTGTCAAGCTTATCATCTGACTTTAGCAGATTGAATCGTGTCAGTGTGAAGACCAAATTCAATGTTCACAACATGATCAAGAAAGCTCCATTTCCAGAAGCATCTTCGGATGAACCAAAATTGCAAGTAAATCGGAATGTGGCAATTAATACTCAAGTACCAGCGCTACAATCGAGGACACAACCGCAACATTCAGAATCTCGATCAACCGAAGAAGAATGGCCAACTCGGATTGAAGCAGCTGCGGAATCAGAGTCCAGGAGATTACCTGTCAGCATCAATCCGGTGCAAAGCGCTCAGCGAGGATCGACAATCCAGCCAATTAGAAGTGATATATCAGTTTCGCACTCTCGGGTTCAAGAATCCAATGCTACTATGGGAGATCCGACTATGAAGTCTGCGCTATATGAGGAGAATCAGCCACTAGAAGACTTTAGACGACCTCATCAGTCTATTCCAATCTCCGAATTCCAACCAAGCCATTCTGTTGCACATACTGGCTATCATGCGTCAATGCATCCACAGCCTTCCCGCTCCGTGTCACAAGCAAACATATCTCGACCTCACTCACGACAAGATTCATCTCGACCCCAGGCGACGACGGGAAATCAGGCCGGACATCAGATTCAGCGAAGAGTCATGAATAGACCAGTTAAATCACTTGATCTTGAACCTCAAGGTATATCTGAGGTGTCACCCAGCCATATTGGTCGGACCAAAGTCGCTAAATCAACAGTTGTGATATCTCAAGATCAAAGTTATCAAATTGGAGACCATATCAGCAGCCGACCAGAGAAACCTGCACTAGATTTTGATTCTCTGTATCACGTTGTTATGGAGTGCCAAAGACAACAGGGAATTATCCAAAGTCAGGTGAACTCTATTTCTGATCTCAATACCAAGCTGCAAGATGCTGAAGCCCAATTGCGAGACACACGTGTAATCAATGAAAAATTGGAGGCGAAGAAGGATGAATTGTCAAAGAGAGTCGAGAGATTAAATGATCTATCCAATAGATACAGACAACATATCAATGAAGTTGTCATTTGCCAGAAGTCCCTCAGACAAGATTCACAAGAGATGAAGAAATCGATGGGAAATTTAAAATTGGTTTCCACAGAAGAATCTGAGGAAATAAAAGCTCAGATTAGCAGGATCACGGAGCTATCGGAGCAAATCAAGCAAATTCGAAGAGACAAAACCCAACAGGAGAAGTTGATGGATGCCGAGTTCAAAGCTTTGGGTGAAAAGATTGTTGAACTTCAGCGTGAAAATGATCGTCTCAAGGCTGTCAATGATTCAAATATGGTGGAGGTTCGAAAAGACAAAACTCAACAGGACTTGAATGCCAAATTCAAAGCTTTGGGTGAAAAGATTGTTGAACTTCAGCGTGAAAATGCTCGTCTCAAGGCTCTTGATGATTCAAATATGGTGGAACTCCAACAAGAACGTTTACGCATCGAGGAACTTCAAAAACAAATCAGTCATAGTGACCTTGGTCGTCACAAAGAATTGATGGAGATTCTCCAAAAGCCTCAAGTCGACACCCTTGGAGAACTTACTAAAGAGGATGGGATACTTACCAAAGTTTTGAGTTCCAGTGAAGGAGTTCAAGGGAAGTTTAACGAAATTTCGAAGACGATTACAAGTTCTCTAAATCAGTCATCGGAGTGGCAACAAACTCTGATTAAAATTCTCGAAGACTTTTACACTCGAATTCAGACGAAGCTTGAAGACAATGGCAGTAAGGACACCAATTTCCAGGAGTCGACCGTCAAGCTCTTTGATGATCTTAGAGAATATCTTGATCAAATCAATGGTGATCTGAATGAAAATATCAAACTCAGTGAGCAGCTCAATGTGCTCCGAGATAGCAATGCTAGTTTGAAAGCAAATTTGAACTCTAAGGACGCAGTTTTGGAGCACCATATCGCCCGGATGTATGAGTTAACCCGAGAGCTCGCAGACGTTCGTTTACAGTTAATAAATAAAGCTGAGCAGCTGGAAATCTCAAATGCGCAACCAAGAGAGGATCCAGAACTCAAGAAGAAGGTCGATGACTTGGTCACGGAGACATCCAGATTACAAAAACTACTCCTCACTGCAAACGATGATAAGAGTCAAGCTGAGAATAATGTTCAAATTCACCATGCAACAATTACTTCTACTCGAAATCAATTACGCGAAACAGAGGATAAATTGCGAAACGCCAATTCTACTATTGAAAAAATGGAAGGAAATAATCAAAAGCTCCAAATTGAGTGTAGATCAGCCATGGAGATGGTTCGGCAGGAAACTACGCAGCTCGCCTTGTGTCAAAGAAAGGATCTAGTCGCCCAACATGACTCCTTAGTCAATGATCTTACGCATAAGCAAACGGAAACCGAGAAAAAGCTACATGTAGCGATTGAAAAATCAAAGAAATCTCAATGGGCCATTGATGAGCATGCGAAGACGATCAACAGACTTAAGTCAGAGATGACTACTTACAAAGACCAGGTATTACAGCAAAAGCTTCAACTTCAAAGCTTGGAAGAAAGTTCCATTTCCGCTCCCCAACTTCAAAAATATAAACAGGAACACAAACAAGAGATATTATCAATTCGCAAAGAGCAAGAAAATCAACGTGCATCGTCAAACGCTTGTCGAGACGAGTGTCTTAGGATTAAAGGTGAAATCGAGGGTGCTAAGAAACGCCTTCGTGATATGAATGAAACAAATGAGCTTCTGATGACAGAGAATGATCGGTTACGAAAGCTTTTAGAGGATACCAGCACAGTGACTGAGGAGGTTTTTGGCGTTCCCAGCCGTGTTGATGATGCTCGGCCATCTTCACGTAGGCCTGCTGAGCGAAAATCTAACAATTTCCACAATCAAGCCCACGATAAACTCGTAGGAGGGAACCATTCGGAATTCAAGAATGATGCAGTACTTGCATCTTCTTCATCGCGAACCATGTCATCTACTTCACAGACCTCATCTTCACGAGCGTATGGCGACAACAGCGGCAGAAATTGGACTCCGATCAAACCCTCCACCAACACCGCTTCTCTGGAGACAAGTCCTCTCACCGATTTGGAAGATATCATGCCAAATGTGGAATCCGCGCATAGTCGTGAGGAACTGCAGCGAGTATACAACAAGAATCGCCTAGTATCGAATGATAAGATTGCACAAGTGGATAGCGTTCGATCCAAGTACTATCCTCGTGGAGAACAGACCATTGGCACTCCGAAGTCCAAGGTTAACAAAGTTGTGATTGCTGTTGAGGAAGAATCAATTAATACACCAAGTCAAGCACCCGGGCCCATCCCCTCCCTTGCAGAAGAAAATATTCAACGCCGAATGAACAAGCCAACCAAATCCGCTTTGAAGAAGACTGATCATCAGGACTCTTTTGTTATTCCAGATGGCCCACAAGGTCAAGCTTACAATCCAATTTTTAAAAAACCAGCGCCAAGAAACAATCGTGGGCTCGACACTGGCCTTCATGCAACTCGGGGGACTGGCGCGAGCAGTTACAATCGCATCGCAAGTTCAACTCCAAAGATTTCTAACTCGAGAGTACCAGAGCCTCGGTATGAGCCAACACCAGAGATCAAGCGCAACGCCATTAAAAGAGCGAGGTCAAATTCATCCCTCGCCGCTGAGAACCTACAACCCGCCAAGCCTGCGAAAGCACCCAGAGTGTCTCGCCGCCAACCATCCAACAAGACAATGATTCCAGACTCCCAAGATCGATTGTAAGGTGAAATGTTCATAGCTCAGATGGCAATATTACTGGTCAGCCATTATCGGGATACCGACTTGCACCTTGATTCCAAATTGGCCCCATCCAGATTGGACATAGCATCTTCGCTACGGAATTCGACTGTACTGTTGTATTATTGCAGAATCTCAAAGGTTTTGAACGTACGAAAGAAAAGAGCTGAAGTTGTATTGATCACTTGTAATGGCTTTACATTGCAAGAGAGGAATTGAGCGTATTGAAGTTGCTGTTGATTGTTAGTTTTAATAAAATGTTGTGCTATGGAAGGTGGATGAAGGAGACAGGGAGAAGAGAGGATAGGAATAGCCAATGTTGCTATAATTGTCAGAAAGTGAATATATTTCGCAAGTTGTTGCTTATGTATACCAGAAGGTACATCACCAGATATTAGGCTCTATGCTTGCTGGATAATCTAGAAATCTAGAATCCACATCAACAAAGTTGTCATTCATCATTCCACATTGTGTAAGTCGAAATAAATGGTGATTGTATTCACAATGTTGCCCCATACGCCATTCCATGCATCTATTCATACAGTACCAAGGTTGTGTGATTCGTACAACTTTTGTTTAGTTCCTAAATGCGCATGCACCCGCACTAACTAGGTCCATGGTTTTACCATGCAGTATGAATGCAGTAGCAGCCCCAACCTATCTTCCACATCTCTCCCAGCAGCTTCTTTTGAGAAGAGACTTGGATATTCTGAAGAAATAGCATCGTTTCTTCAAATGCATATACCACGGTAAAACGTTCCCAGGACTCCCCTCCGCCTAACTCTTGTGCATTCCCTAGTGCTCACTCTATCCTCTATTCTCTGGTATCTTAATTTTCTTTCCTTTTTCGTTTTTCTTTCTCGTATCTTTTTCCTATCTTAAGCTTCATATTTTTTTCTCGACTATTCATTGACTTGCGTGCTGTGTGTGTATTTGTGTTTGCGCATCATATCGTGTCGTATCGAGGGATAAATAAATGAATGATGTATGTGAGCTAACTATTTCAACTATTTCGAACCACCACCTCGTTTTTGCTCGAGAAATAGAACTTTCTTGCGGACTAAATAAAGGGGGAAAAAGGGGTGTGGTTAGCTTGGGGTTTTCTTGATGTTTTTGACGAGGGTTTGCGTGGTAGCAGAGAGATGGTGAGGTTTATGGGTTAAGTTTGCGGGTTGGATGTTTGGTTTTTGCTTTGGGATTTGGGGTTTGGAGGTTTGGGGGTGCGGGAGGATAAGAAAATGGGGATTGAGAATTGAGGAGAGGGTTGAGGTGATATTGAGATGCGGACTGGATTTCGGGGTTGGCAGCAGAAGAGAGCGGATGCTTGGGTATTTTGGGACGAGATGTCGTTTATGCAGTTTGCGCGCCGGTTGACTGTAGTTTATGGATCGAAGTGAAGTGAGATGATCGAGTGCTTGCTCGTGTGTATGTTGCGCAAATGGTGAAATGCATCTCAATTGCTCTGCGCTTGTTTCGACTTTTCCTCGTTCGATGTAATGTGATGCAGGTGCTCGCTCAATATCGTAGTCCTCGCACTCCATCTCCAATCTCGTATCTCCCTCCCTCTACCTTCCATCCTCAACCCAGAATCCCAATCTCAATCTCAGATCCCCCACCTCCCCTCTCTATCCCCCCTTACCCAATCCCATCTCCTTCCCCCTTCCACCAATTTCCAATCCCTCTCACCTCATTCCCATTCTCCTCCCCAGAATCCCAAACCAAACCTAAACCCAAACTCAAACCCAAAAAAACAAAAATCAAGAAAAAAAAACAAAACTCACCAACAGGATCATACTTCAACATACTAAGCGGCCTATGCGTACGCGGTCGAATAAGCGTCTTGTAATATCCAGTCAGAGCCATTGATATGAGGCGGACGGGGATAGTGCGGGATTTGGCTGTGAAGGAGGGTGATGTGGTTAGTTATTTTGTTTGTTTGTTTGTTTGTTTGTTTGTTTGTTTATTTATTGGGGTGTGAGGGGGAAGGAGGAGGGGAGGGGTGGTGGGTGGTGGGTTTGAGGTGGAGGGGGAAAGTTGTAGGGAGGGGAGAATTGTGTATGTAGCCAATGTACCTTTTTTTGCCATGTTGATTTTGATATTGGATTGGCGGAGTAAGAGGTGAGTGTGGGAGGAGCTGGAGGGTGGAAGTGGTATGGTATGGTTCTCTATCTACGACGACTTGGATATAAAATTATTCGCGACGCGGATATGGTGTTTATGCCTCAGGCTTGTTTGGAGTTTTAGAAATATTGGGATTGGGAATGGAGTTTTTCCGGTGATTTACCGATGAGTGGGATAGATTTGCACGTGACTGGATAGGATGGGATGGGATACCGGTAGAGGGATGCGTGCTGGTGGGATGCGAATCGTGTGTACGAATACGCAGCACGAGGTTTACTTTAGCTTGTAGTTTGGGGGAAGTTTATTTTTGTTTTATTTTATTTACTTTATTTTTACTTTTATTTCTTGATGGGGATACTGGGAATCTTTGACAATACTCGTAACGAAGAATTTACTGCCAGATGGGGAAGAGTGAAGGTTCGTCGTGACAGGGCTAAATATCGTCATGATATTGCACTTACGAGGTGCTTGACGGCAGATGTAGTTAGTTCACCAGGTAGGTAGGTCTACGGAGTACCGTGTAGGTGAGGGTTATGTTAAGTCACGTGTTTGAGAGTTAGAGCACATACTCGGCGATGATACGGAGTAGAGCAGAAACATTGTCCCGACTCTTGATCATGGTTCTAGAGTCGTATGATTTGAATGCATGCAGTGGATGAAGTGCATGAAGTGGACTTTTTGGGATTTTGGTAAGGCTTCCCGAGAAGAAGGTTTGGAAGATAAGGGTCATGTGAATGAATGAGTGATGCACTGATGGTTGATGTTCTATCGTTTTTCAATATTTTTGACTTTGGTTTTGATTCATGTGAGGTTACCCCTTTTTCGATAGTAGATACATACTCTGTATTTAGATACTAGGTATGATCCCGTAGGATGGATATGGCGTAGTGTCTAGAATTATCACAGAGTACAGTGCAGGCAGATATGTGGATTGAAATATCCATTCCACAGATTTGGGTTTATAGTGCACTTTCACTAACCTCGTTTGGTGGAAACGAAGATATAAAAGTTAGAACGTTAGAACATACCATGTTGAGTTTCGGAGTTGCAACTCAATGTCATGTCATTAAAGGTGTCGATCTAAAACTAGAACAAGAAGAGAGAGCACGGAGTAAATTCATCACAATATCAGAATGCAGAACGTTGAATGTTGAATGTTGAATGTTACACAGACCGCAATAGACCGCCACAGAACTATTTTACTCCGGAGTCTGTACTGATACAGCATCATGCAGATAACAACATAAGAGATCATGACAAGTTACAACAGTCTCGACTCTCAATGCAACCAACTTTTAAAGCTAATAGTTTGCGTAATGACTATTCCTATCCCTATCTTCCCAAAAAGCTAGTTGGAATTAATCACCGTGACGCATGCAGTACATACATAGTAAATAGTAAATAGTAAATACCACCTCAATACCTTGGAGTAAGACCTAATGCATCATTCAAAACTCATCAACACCCATCATGAAAAACATGGCAAATGTTAAATTGTTCAGCTTTCTCGATCATCGATCGCTTCAATATGCATATCTAGGATTGATCAAATCGATATCGTATTTAGAGTGGGGTACTCCGTCTAACCTTGTACCTTTGGTCCCGGTAGTCGGATAATGAATGGTTTAATCAGATCAATGCGTGGAAGGGGGAAGTGGAAGGGAAGTGGAAGTGGAAGTGGAAGAGAAAGTGGAAGTTCTTTGCTCCATTTTATTCTAGATTTTTTAATACCATCATAGAATTCTAATAATATCTACCTAAACACATTGGTGATTCGACGATCAGTATATTCCGGTACATCTTTTGGAATATATCATCACTTTTATATTTATTATCTCTTCAAGCTTCATCTCATTCTAGTGATAAGTCGGTATGATACTACCAATACTACCAATCGCATAACTCCGTGAGCTTTAGCCTTACTTAGTACGGGGTAAGTATCTAGTATCTACAATCTATGTTTCAAGAGAAAGCCAAACAACAAAGCTAATATTCAGATGTCATTGCTATTTTACCGATTGAGGCTCTCCAACATAATACGAGTCTGAATCGATAATGAAGCTCTTACCAATAAAGCGCTTACCATCACGCTATCTGAGACTGTTAGGTTGTTAGTAATGATTAGAGTCCATCTACCGTACTGTCCTATTCTATTAAATTGATTAATCGTGATCATAGATGAAAAAGATAATAGGATAGGTAAGCTTGTGGTAAGCTTGTAGTACGTACCTAGTCTCTAAGGTTATAACTTATGTCTCTTTTCGGATAATGGAAATATTTGATTGGTCGATCCTCACTTTCTTTCCTCCCGCAGCAATATGTTATGAAGATCGAGTAATCATTTTTCCCATTCCCTTATTCCCAACCATTTTCAACATCTCCAAAGCAAAACCTCGATTTTTCTTTCATTTTCCTCGATTTCTTCTGAGGGAGTGAAGATGGCAAGATCATCGGACCATACGTATGCAGTTTTCCATTCGTTACCCACTGATTCATTCATCTATTGATCTAATCATTTATTCATTCATTCATTCATTCATGCATTTATTAATTCATCCATCACCCATTATTGATTAATTTTTAATTAAGCTCCGGTCCAAGGTAAGGGTAGATGCTCGACAGACAGACTACTCTGGAGTCTGTACGTATTATACTACTTTAGTCTACTTTTCACCATCACCCATCACTCTTTAACACTACCTACCCGGTCCTCACTCATACCAAGTCTCAACTACCCCAAATGTTTATTTCAATTTCCACCCCCACTTCGCTCATTTCATCTTTCTTAAACGTTTAAAAAGTATTTCCAGGTAATGCATAGAAAAGAAGAAAAAATCATGTCAAGAAATACAAGGCTTTTTTATGTATCACACACACACAATACCTACTGTCTACATATCATCAAAAGTCATAGTCATACATACCTACATACACATCCTTTGGTCAAAAACTTATTGGCCAATCATGTTAACTCCTGAACATGAAGAACAGCTCAAGAAGCTTAAAGAGGTGAGTCCTTTTTCTGTTACTATCATGAGATACCTCTAATACATTAAAGCTTACCATGTGAAAATAGCTTCAAGCTTTATATGCCGAACATGCAGCTGCTCAAAATCAACAAGATCATCAAGATGGAATTTCTCGTCCAGAAAGTAGGGATTCTGCTTCTTCCGATCCTATGATCTTTCCTGGCTTGTATTCTCCAAGTGGTTTTGATGTATTGCAAATTCTGGTACGTCTCAATTCGAATACAAACTTCAATTGCATTTGCCTTTGAAGCCCTCTCAAACCGCATTGATATTAATGTTGCATAGTATCAAGTTCAACGTCGTCCAAATCCTACATATGCCTTGGGAAATATCGATAGCGGAGTAGCTCTCGTTCTATGTGATTCTTCACGTCCACATTGTCCCATCGTTTACTGCAGCGAACCATTCCAGCATTTAACAGGCTATTCCCAATCGGAAATTATTGGCAAGAATTGCAGATTCCTTCAAAATCCATACGATCCCAAGACGTTCGAAATTCTCGGTAATGCTCCTACGACCAAGGGTCTTCAAAATCCTACAAATGATCCAAATTCCAAGGCGAAATCAACAATTCGAAAAGCTTTGGAATGTAACTTGGAAGCTCAGGTTACTCTTATTAATTATCGAAAGAATGGAGAGAGATTTCTTAATGTTTTGACGACGGTTCCCGTTAAATGGAGGACAATGGAGGGAGAGGAAAAGAATTACATTGTTGGATTTCAAGCCGTGGCTCCTCCTATGTTTCGAACTTCATCTTCTTGAGGATCTGCTAGAGACTTACTATACTAATCTGATTGGTCCGCCCAACCAATTTGATACAAGCTTCATGGGATTCGATATTTATATATCCTCTGAAAGGTACTGGCATGGAGGGAGGATTTCTCAATATTTTCACACTTTGAGCATAGGTTATTGGATGATACCCCCAATTTCTAAAAAGAGATCTTGGGCATTATTAGATGGTCATTCAAGGAGCATAGGAGCAAAGCATTTGGTCTGGAAGGGATAATACATATGGGATGGTATAGCATGGCGCTGGTGGTTATTTGATTTGGTAGGCTTAGGCTAGGTTTAGTCTAGGCTTTTGGAGTTTTGGGTAGGTATCGTCTGTTGATATGGGATGAGAGGGTGTAAATGATTATGGGTGTGGTTGGGGAGGTGGGTGGGAAGATGAGAAATTATCATTTGATTTTTATGAGTGATGATTTTGGTTGATGAGTTTGTATGTGTGTAGTGCGGTGTATCTGCATTGTTGTCTGATATGGTGAAGAGTGTACTTATGCTTTCTTTGATGTAAAACCCATCACGACCGACTCATTGTCTGATTGATTCTAGAGCATAAAGTTTATTATGATATAAAATCAATGAATAAGTATTCTCATTGTATCCCATCCTGTTACGAGGTTTGCCGTCTAGATCATGTGGAAGTGCTCTAGGCTCTCGAAGTGGTTTATAACTAGGCGTCAAGCAGGGACTTAAGTAATGACAATAATGATATGCAATTCGTAACTAATAATAGAGTATACTAAATGATTGATCTTGAGCACGAAGCTCTATACAAAGGGAATCCATCTTGATTATATAAATCTTCATGCTCCTTGGACCACCTTGGATCACCAGTGATCCTAAGTGATCCAGCATACTTGTTTATATACTCTGATAGTATATATATATGAGTTCTTAGAGTGACCGAAATCTCATAGTAAATTGAGCGAATCGAAACCGATTTGTATATGGCCCAAGCTTACGAAAACAAGTCAGCTATTATCATCGTAACAATTGATTGATTTTGGATTAGAGTCTATGTAGTTAATTGTTTTGTTTAATGGTCTTTGAGATATTTTTAAAGTTTCAGTTTTATTAATTCAAATTATAGATTTCTTTATTAGAAATATACATATATTATATATTGTTAAAAGGAATGACCTCACACAGGGAATAGTGGGAAGCTGATAGGGCAGAACTGAGGTAATATTGGTCTAGTAGGTTAATCTCTCTTCTAAGTTCTACGGAAGTGCGAAGCTCTCTGTAAGAGAGCTTCTCAATCTAGTCCTAATAGGACTAGTGCCTTGTGCATGTGCTACGCAGGAACCATTCACTTTAACAAAGAAATCAATATGAGATGAGTTCCTCTGCGCGCCATGTAATTAGCTAAAAAATTATCGAGAAATTCCCTGCTTGAAAATTTTTATTTGAAATATCTATAATCATTAAGGTTATTAATATTGAAGGTTTCCCTGCTTTCGAAATACTTAAATTGTTGATTTGTATGTCGGATGTAGATCATGGTATTGAGATCTCGCTCGGGAAATGTTTAGATAAACGACTACATTACATTCTGCCAGCGCCGAAAGAGCTTATAGTTTATAGTTAATCTTTCTTGATTGCACTCTCAGTAACTCTATATAATAATTAATAATTACACCTCTCTTATATCTATATCTATATCCCAGAAAATATAAATATAAATATAACCTACTGTTGGTACGAGAAGGATACGGAAGACGTAGCACCCACGGATTATGTAGGTCCTGTATGTCTAATTGTATTCTGTCTAAAAAGCTAGCTACATATTGAAAGTAATAAGTCTTATATAGACTTACTAAAAAAGCTAGTCTCTTTCGCGTTCGCTTAGTTCTTTATTACAGTAGTAATTGAATTGAAGTCATTCACTTCGTTCACACACCTACCCATCCAATTTATCCCAAAGCTCCTTGATTTCTTTCAATTTATCATTTTTCTTCATTTCCATTTCCTCCTTCAATTCCTTCTCCATTTGTACTTGTCTATCACTAGCTGGTAAACGAGAAGAATTAATTATTTTAAGATATAGATGATAAAGGGCTAGACCAATAAGTGAGATGGTGACAATATTAGCCGTATGCTCAATAATCTGTTCTTGATTACTGCTAGCGGGGTTGGAGGAGTTGGTGATGAGTGGATGGGATGGGAGGTAATGATAATTTCTCTGGGAATGAGATTCAGTGAGATAATTAGAATGTTGCTGGAGGAGATAAATGTGAGGGAGATTTTATGTGGAAGATGGTTCAATGATTGTAGATTATAGATTAAGGGAGGGTTTCAAGTACTGGGATCTCGTTTAGTCGATGCTTTTCTTATTTATTGAAGGGCTGTATTGAGAGAGCTGTATTGAAAGGGCTGTATTGAAAGGGCTGTATTGAAGGGGTTGTATTGAAGGGGTTGTATTGAAGGGCTGTATTGAAGGGCTGTATTGAAAGGGCTGTATTGGAAGGGCTGTAGTGAATATCAAATACTGCTTCAAACAAGGCGTTAACATTGATTGAACTAATGCTCTTTTATTATTTTATTTGGTATCTTTGAGAAATAAATATGAATTTCTATAATATGAATGTTATATAATTATTTTCAACTCATTAAGATTTTAAACTATAAGAAAAGAAAAACTAATTATAAAAGGAAAAGTCTTTAAATATTCCTTTGTATTATATATATTTTTGATATTTATTTTATTTTTATTTTTTATACCTATATAAAGATTAGGAATCAATTATATTAGTAATCAAAACTATAATTATAATAATAGAATTAGATATTAGAAAAGAATAGAATCAACTGTGAACAAAGACTTTCAAAAAGAGGCAGAATCAATTGTAAATGTAGGCTTTTAGGAAGGAACAGAATCAACTATAAATACAGCTTTCAGGAATTATAACTTTTCGAAGTTTGGAATCATAAATCAGATTATAATACTTATCAAAAGTAAGAGTATTCATCAAGTGCCGGAATCATGACTTTCAAAGCTCAGGAATTATAGCTTTTAAAACTTTTAAAACTATTCGATAGACTGTTAAAGTGAATGGTTCCTGCGTAGCACGTGCCCAGGGCACTCCTATTAGGACTAGATTGAGAAGCTCTCTGTAGGAGAGCTTCGCACTTCTGTAGAGCTTGAAGAATGAGTGATTCATATACAATACCAATATAGCCTCAGTTCTGCCCTATCAGCTTCCCACTATTCCCTGTGTAAGGTCATTCCTTTTAATATATATATATAATAATAAATATAATATCTCGTATTGTGACGGAAATCCCTGCTTTCCTCCCACCTTTATTATATAAGAAACCTCAGGTACATTAACCATGTCCACACATGATACGATTACTCGAGATTAGTATGCGATTTAGGTGACCTGAGGATCAGATCCGGACAAGTACTAGGTATCAATGGTTATCGGTAAAGTAAGATCATTGGAGGAATAAATATGACTTCTTTTTGCCTAGCCATTGCAGCTAGGCCATTCATTTGTGTATATATAGAGTAGCTATCCCCATCTACAGGTGCTCTTCACCTGTAGATTCTAAGTTAAATACAATTGCTGGTCTATAAACACCCTTTTGGTCACACGTATAAAATAGTATATTCAGACTTTTCTTTAGTAATAAACAGCCCCTTTTCAGTTTATAAAAATGTTATTGAATGTAAAATTATTCTTTTTACAATTTTGTTTAATATTTGTTACGAGGTTTGCCGTCTAGATCACGTGGAAGTGCTCTAGGCTCTCGAGGTGGTTTATAACTAGGCGTCAAGCAGGGACTTAAAGTAATAACAATAATGCAATTCGTAACTAATAATAGAGTATACTAAATGATTGATCTTGAGCACGAAGCTCTATACAAAGGGAATCCATCTTGATTATATAGACCTTCGTGCCTCCTTAAAAAAACCGATGGCTATGAGCCCGACAAATCAATCACCGCAAAGCCGATCTCGATTTGTCGGTTTCTTGATCATGTGATCAAGTACGTGACCTATGTTACTGTCCGACGTAACAATATTCTCTTTGATCCCTTTTATTTTTTTATAATTGTAAGTCAAAATTTTTTAATATCAGCATCGAGCTTGTTTTGGTAGCAATCAAACGATTGGTGTAAGATTTATAATGGTTTTACAGATTTTAACATTGTAGATTTATATAAGTATTATATACTGATTGAACTTCTACTTTGTCATTCCATACATAACTTTCAAGTATTCATTAGATTCTTAATAACCTGCCCTACAAATGGGATGCTTATAGGCAATCCATCGGAGCTATATACCGTCCCCTGGGTACCCTTCGTGAATCGTAGATCTGCCACTTTCCTTTTGGACGGCCATGGCATATTATATACTCCCAGAACACCCAAATCAATTCCCGACCCCAAATCAAATAAATACCCAAAAAATCTATAATCACCCGCAGATCCATAATCATCAGCGCGCTCAGTGTCCTCTTGTCCACTCAAATTCTCCTCGTAGCTGTGCCTTGTCCATTTTATGAGCAATGTTGAACTGTAGCATATCTCTCATGCCAGGATCTTCAAAGCATCAACTCAAACCATAAGACTCGACCCGCAACAGCAGATTTCGGAAAGTAAAAATCGAACACATAAAACCCAGCCATAACCGCAAACCGTCCGGGAAAAGAATTCGTTCAAGCAGAAGATTTTTCAGGAGCTTTGGCGTCCAGTTTATTCATCTCATGTTCCCATTTATCTCTTAAACACAAGTTAGTAATCAGTAATCAGTAATCTTACATAAAAACCGAAATCAAAGTGTGAGATCTAGAATGCCAATTTACCTTTCCAAACGAACTTGTTCTAATTTTAAACTCAGCTTGGTTAATTTGACAAACATGTACATCTCTGTCTTTTTGTCTTCGGATATTTGTTTCTCTCTGTTTCTTTCAGGGTCCAGGCCTAAAGCTGGGATTATGACGGCAATTAATATTGCAAAGATAAAGAGTATTAGAAGACTTTTCGAGATCCAATCCATAGTTATTTTGGTTAAATATGTTGTTAGTCGTGTTGCGGTGGTCGTGGTCGTGATTGTGGGTGAGGAGGTTGGTTGGTTGGTAATGTTAAAGGTGGTGGAGGTAGTAGGATGGATGTGGTTGAAGATCTCTCCAGAAGTACTTTTGGGGTTGCACGAAGAAGATACTTATAGTTGAGATTCAAAGAATTTTGTACTTATGTCATAGGTTCTAAGATCATCCAGATGATGGGAAACTATAACGGTAAATACTAGAAGAACTGGGTATAGGTCTAGCCCGATACATTTAAAGTTGGGGAGTCGAGTGGTATATATGATTGGAAGAATCGGCAAAGTGGATTTTTCATATAGGTTTATTATCCACTTTGAGGTTTATATCTATCAATATTTTCGAAATTCCACTTGAAACAAGGAAAACTAGAGTTGAATCAAGTCAGACTTAGACTCATATCCAGTTTGTCAAGTTTATCTAGTGCAGCTAGGTTACGAGCCATCTCTTCGCTAACTAAAAAAACTGAGTAATGCAGCAATGGTAGTTCATGTGACCCACTTGCAAAGAAATTTAAGTCTTGATTGGACATTCGATTGATGGCCGTCTAATTTAGATTCAGATCTCCATCGCTAATAGTCGAGTCCCATAAACGGCCGACTAGTTCTTAATCGGGTAAAGCAAAGATTCTTGTAAGATCTTAGTATAAAACTATAATTCCGAATTGATAAATTTTTTTTATAAATTGTCCTTCTCAGTTTGATAAATAAATCTAACAATGAAAATTTTGCTATGTCGCTTTGAAAATTTAAAGTTAAATACCAAAAATAATGATTTTTAGTAGTAATTCTAGATTTTCGATGTCCTATATCAAAATCATACTACGCCGGACACTTGCTTTTCCCGACAGGGAATTAGTCGGCCGTTTCTAAGAGCCGATTGCCACACGGTGTTAAGTCTCAATATAGCAAGTACAATTGTCGGTTTATATAGTCCGAAATCATAACTAATAATAAAACAACTTCCTTCGTATACCTACAATATCCAATCATTTAAAAGGTGGTAAGTATGCTGCCAAGTTATATTTGGCATCTTCGTCCTCTAGAGGATTAGCGAGGAGTAGGGAAAAGGTGGTTAGAGGATACTAGAGAGGACTAGTATTGGTTTACGGTTACTTCTATTCTTTTGACATTCGTTCGTAGGACAAGTCCGAGGTATCGTATAAGATTTATCTTTCATTCGGCAGTATAAACATATATCTTGAATTGTAGGGTTTTGAAATGTATCTGTCCATATATTTCTCGAGAGAAACTGTTCAAACATGCTGCTGAAGAACCCAAATCATCGCTATTTCCCTCAATCTTCCATCCCAAGTATAACTCCAAAAGATCGATACTCGCTGCTTATGCCAACTAGTATTCATCCAACGCCTTGCCAAGCCACCGATCCGTATTAATCGAATTCGGAAAATTAATACCTCGGAGATAGAAAGTTTGGTCGTAAAATAATCTGGAAGAAGAGTATTTAACGGCGAGATCTTCGAGGCGCACTTATTTTTCCCGGAGGTACCTGTTCTCTTATATTTTACTCATTATATGATCTTTTTCACAGAAACAATGGATTCATCATACTCCCTCAAACCCTCCAACAATTCTTTAAAATACCTAGCTCTCGAACGTGGATCCATAGGTTTATTACTATCCAAGTGTTCATAATCCTCCCTTCCTGCCTCATAAGCATCTTTCCATTCAGGTAATTGTGCCGGGGGACTAGTAGTGCTAGAATTTTCACGATAGAAATCCATCAACAAGTGTGGCGAGGTCTTGAAGTCGGATATAGGGTACCATTCTGGATCTTCGTCGTGGCCAACCCAAGATGCTCTGACGTATAAACTTTTCCACTTTTTCTTGACAGCGAGGATTTTCTCTACTTCCCATTCTTTGCTCTTGTCGGGTTTGGTTGATGCTCGACTACTTGAAGCTTTGTTTTGGGCTTCCATAGTGGGACTTTCGAGGAACTTTGTCAAGGGGTGTGTGGTGATGAGGGCGCGAAATTGAAAGGCTTTGGGTTGAGGGAATATCTTTGAATGGAATTTCGAAGGTGAAAAATTCCATTCGGGATATGTTCGAGTGTAGTTGAGAGGAAGTTGTGGGTATTGAGAGGAGATGATTGTCTTTGAGGCTTGAGAATTGAGGGCGGTCGTGGATTTGTGTTGACTTTGTGGCAGCTTCTACTTGAAAGATTAAAATTGAGGTGATGCCTGTTTGCCGCTATGCCGCTAGTGCTCTCTTTTCAATTAAATAAAAGTACTCATGTTGCGAAGATATTTGTGACATCTCCTATTGAAGTGAATCGGTCGGTGGTTTTCTTATTCTTTTGAAATTCATTCAGCTAACGAGTCTAGATTTTAATTACAAGACTAGTTTACTAATATAAAAGCAGAAGAGTGAACGAAATCTTTTCAAAAGGAATAATTTTACTTAGATGAAAATATATTGGATGATAACTATTAGATGTTAGTAAATCACAAAAGGTACGATTTAGCCTTTAGCTTCTTCCAGCCGGAGGCAAAAAAAAAACACATTTTGCGCAGAAAGAAATCGTCAAGTAATCTATTTTAAGATATCAAAATTCTTGAACTTTCGGAATAGCAGTGGAAAGGAAAAGAATTGCTTCTACTGTGCCGCTACCTTTAACTGTTGCGCTTGACTTAGGCTTGCCAATATCTCGTCAAATATAAACATGTGGTCACCATCCATCAAAACACTTCACAAATTTACTGCCCACAAACCAACTGGACCTTACAAACATGCTCAAAACACCCTAGCAAAACCTATAAGAAAAAATACATCATTACAATCCCCCATCCAAACACTCCACCAACCATCCCCATACCCTCCCACCAAATCCTCGAGACTCCACCTAACATTCCTACTAACAATCCCCAACATCTTCAGCCCCTCATCGATCGCCTCCCCCCTCGAAGCCGCCGCACTCCCATTCTCCACCGTAACCAAATTCCGCAATTCACTCTTCGTAGCGATGTATTTACCGCGATACCATGTTCCCAGATGTTTAACAATGTTGTCTCCAATTGCATCGTTGATTGTTCCCACGTTTTTGGAAATAAAGGTTAAGGCTTTGTTGCCGTTGTGTTTGGTGCTGTGGTTTAGATGGATGCTGGGGGTGTACATTTTGGCGCGGAAGGCCGGGGGTTCTGGGTTGGTGTTGGTGTGTGTGGTGGGCAAGGGGTGAGGGTGGTTGGTGACGAACGGATGAGTTGGAGTTTATAGTTGCTTTGAAGATTTGTTTAGTGATGTGGATGTTGTATAGACGTTGATGATGAATGATGTGAGTGTGGTGAGTGTGGTGTAGAACATTTTACATTGGCTCAATGAAAGGCTCTCATATCCTCATCCTTTCTCTTCGTCTATGCTGTAAAACCAACCCTTGATGCAATTCCTACATTTTCATTCTCGGCAGGAAGAAACCCGTTACACTACTGTACTCGATTTTTGAATCTGGATAAACTGTGTATACGTAAAAATCATTTAAGGTGAGCGTAGTTTTAGCCCTTCATAATGCTCAGGCCATGGTCAGAAACTGAGAGAACTAGAAAATATAAATGAACGTTGCATTGAAGAATTTTTTAAGATGAGATACCCAGAGGCCGGTAATTTGTAGGTATATGCTGCATAGATTATTCTCTTCATTATCCTGCAAATGAGTGATCAACAACGACCCATCCCGAGCTCATTTGATCATGGTCAGACTCCTTACGAAATGGATTCCTCAAACCTGGAATATAATCCCTACAAGACTTCTAAACAAAATCATTATAGGCACAAGGTCTGCAACGTCAGTTAGGTGACAGAAATATAGAGTGAGGTCAATACTCTCTTTAGAAACCTTAATTTCAACCCCTTGTCTAACGAGCTATTCGATCAGATATCCATACTACTCCACTTCTTTAAATCCTACGACTCCGGAAGGATTGAAGCTTAACGTTAACTGAGCAGGCAGTCTATCGCTCCACGAGGTCGAAGCACAAGGTAGAAGCCGGACAATAGTTGTTCCTCATCCTACGTTTCAAAGCTCACGAGAGCTTAGTAATTCATAAATTCCTTAACTACATCTAACAGAAAAATGTTCTTGCAGCTTTCTGAAATGAAAATATGCGAGATCAAAACGCCGAAATTTTCATAAACTCTTGCAGATTGGGACGTCCTTTATGTTGACATGATATCCTTTTTCTATGTACAGAATTTCCGTACCTCTGCTCGTGAATCCATGTAGATTGATGATAGGGTTCCTTCTCCGTCACGGCGTTATCTTACAAAGATCTTACAATCGCTTCAGCTTACCTAAGTTAAATTTGCCCATAGTAAAAGCAAGATACAAAGTACAAACACCTCATTAATCTTGACAACGTGCTCTGCTGCCGTAAAGTCGCAGATTCAGTAGGCAACCCAACGTTATCTGCCTATGGTTTCAAATCGCCAATTGACGAAGTCTTCCATGCCCCACCCCCGCACATTAGCGGAAATGAATAAGTTTTGGTCCTTTTAGGAGAAAGACTCTATAAATACACATCAACAAGCTTTAAGAAGCAGAATCCTTAAAAGCTTAATCTTTCTTTAGAAGTCTCAACTCAGTTGCTGCGCCGCTAGATACAAAATGTCGTCTTACTGCATATATCCCAATATGGATTAGCGCGGGATGACGTGAGAGGGCTGATGTCCATTCACCAGAGCTACGCCACAATAAGACAGACAACAAACAGTAGGGAGTTTAGCCAGGATTTATATCTTTCGAAACTTGATAAGGTGGTCTTACATTTCTCGTACAGAATCTTGCGAAGACTCTTACTACCTGTCCATCACTCACAACAGTATCAATCTAAAGAAACACGATCACAAACAACCATGACCACAACCACAACCACAACCACAACCACACCCTCCACATTCCCCCTCTTCCCCAACCTCATCCTTGAACTCCGCCGCCAAATATGGCGCGAAGCCCTCCCCACCACCCTCCCCCCATCCCTCTACTTCTACAAAAAAGGGTGCTGGCAACCACGAATCTTCAACTCCACCGACCCCGGCTACTGCAACGAAGCAAGCGAAACCCACAGCTCCGAAGACCTAAACCGGAACTTCGAATTTCGCTTCCAAGATCTCGATGAGATTAACTTTCAAACACCTCTCATGTATGTGAATCACGAGGCTCGGGAGATGGTGTTCTCATGGGCTCGTACTGCTGGGTTTGAATTCGAAATATTAAGTCGGGGGTCTTCTGCTCCTCCACTTCTGGCTTTACCGTTTAATCCCGCTCGTGATGTACTTTTTGTGTCGGTTGAGCAGTGGGATGAGTTTTATTCGGAGCCATATGATCGCTCTTTTGAAGAGGATATGATTGATCGTACTCATGGTACATATAATGAGATTACGCGACTGGCTGTTCCGGAAGCTTTGTTTGAGAAAGATATTGATGCTTTGGAGGAATTGTCGAGGTATTATTGTAGTATTGAGGTATTATATATTATTATTGATATGCCGTCGGACTTGCGCTCGGTGGATAATGGAATCCATGTACAACCACGATGGGAGTGTAGGAAATTTCCAAATTGGGCGTATATCTGGAATAAGGAGGAACAGGTCTTTAAAGCTAGTGGTGAGAGGATTCCTGGGTGTGAGTTTCCTGAAGCGATGGTTTTGAAGGTTTGTGAGAGGTTGGGTGAGGAGATTATTTTGGGGTCGGGTTCGATTCGTGAGGTTCAACCTGTGTTTGCTGTTAGGGGGTAAAGAGTGTATATCAAACGATGCCTCAAACGATTCTTCATACTTATTTTCCTAGGAAATTCCACTTTAAATCCATTTCAATACATAAGCCCCGAATATCCTCATCTTCTATTCCGCAACATACTCGAAATCCACTCACGTTCCTTGTATTCTCCAATAAGGCTATTTATTACCTACTCCCTACCCTCAAATCTATAATCTCAACATCAAATTATCAATTCCTCTTCCCGAAAGCACATTCTCCGCACTTTCCCCTCTAATATATTCCCATTCTTCAACTCCGATACCCCATTTACCAAACTAATCTTACATATTCCTCGACCCCTTTCCCATCCACCTATCCATAATTTCAAATAACACAACAGGAATACGAAAGGCGTGACATAAATATTAAATGCAAGCTTACAAATGATAGATAGAAATTTATATTATATAATTAGATAATAAGATAATAATTCAATTTCTAATTACTCATATCTGTATACCTAGGTATATATATCTATTTCAGGAAATAATAGACAAGATAATCAGTTAGTAAGTCAGTCAGTCAGTTTAATTCTTTTCTAAATTCGAGATATTAAATCATTAAAACCTTATATTCGAAGTGAATACCAGGTAGCTCAACTAGTGCCCACGCGAAATAGATAAATAGTAAATAATAAATATAGATAACTTTTTTATTTTTTACCTTTGAATCGAAAATGAGGTAAAGCTAAGATTTCAATAATACAGTATTATATTGTTCTAAAAGTATCCTACCATCCCACGCCGATCTTCCCGTATTTTCAATAACCACTTTACAATTTTTAAGAGTGCTCTCAATTTTTTCTCAGATACTTTTATCCGGACGGCACTCTCACAGCGGACAGATCAATGCATATATGCATGCCATGCGATAATATATGCAGTAGATCTCAGGGTTTTTAGGTGTTCTGATAATGGAATGAGATTGATTGCTTTTGAGTGTAGGTAAGGAAAAATAAAATAGCAAGATACAAAAGAAATCGAGAAAATGAAATGTGAAATCGGGGTGATGATTTTATTTACATAAGAAAAGTAGCAGACGCAACGATCGAGTTTCGTCACTGGCCATAGCCAACCATAAATCCTTGACAACAATACAACGTAGTAACACCAGCAACGCCCCAACTAGCAATCTAGTAACCGTAGAATTAGCCCGCTCATCCAATCCTAGCGTTGTTGCGCTCATTTTGTCAAACCCTCCATCTCTGTATTTGATATCCTTTTCGCCCTCATAATACGATTATCCTTGATGAATTTCCCTGGATGGATGATAAGAAAGATGAAGACCACCAAGAACATCAACGCAGCATCAAAGACATAGAGAAATGCTTCCTTATCTCCAATCGTCATAGTATGTTTTCCGATATACGTGAGAGATCCATCATCATTTCTCATGGCATATGTAAACCCTCCACTATTAACCTGTTGCGCATACTCGATTGCACGCACCAAGTTTCGAACTATGAGCAGTATACTGACTGCATACAATGCCCGAAAATATTTCTTCCATGTGCTGTCCACATAACGATTGCTGCCCGGGTAATTCTCTTGATTCTGCTCGAAACGGGCTGCGATACGCCAAGCCATGAAGAGGAAGAAGCAAAATGCTATGATTTGAAATATGAGACCTCCAAAAATGACTTTGTTTCCCATAGCGATGGCTTGCGTGTTGCCTGAAGCTTGGACTCCTGCACCGGCAAATTGGCTGACAAAACAGACGATGTCGATCAAGACGTATATTTTGGTCAACCATCGTGGGCTGATCATCGAGTATTTTTCTGCACCCAGAGCAATGGTGATTCGTGCGAGGGTCATATAGACGGTGGCTGCAAGGAAAGTCGGGGCACCGAGGATAAGAATCATTTGAAGGATCCAAGGACCAATATCGCTGACGTTGTTATGACACTTACTCCTGCCATAGTATCCGAAAGTTTCGCCTGTAGTTATTAGCTCAATGTATGAAAAATTGCTATTGATTAAGACGTTGGTATTTCTTGGTCTCTGGAAATCGGTACTTACATATCCCGCCTAAGATAAAGCTTACGAAAAACCATGAGCGTAAGGGAAACATGTAGATAAAATGTGCAATAGTACATAATCCGAAAAGTGCCACAAAGCTATAGGCAGCGGAACCGGAGGGATCATAAGTGAAGTATATGCCTCCCGTGATGTTTCCTGAGGGTGATTTGATGAGCGTGATATCCATTGTTAAGTCGTCCTTGTTCAATTGGGTTAAATGGGGTCAAAATGTGTAGAAATAGGTCAGTGAGTATGATGTGGAAAGATTTTCAGATATCTGAAGTATATGAAGTGATAAGCCAGTGGTAAGCAAGATGAATTTTTGGAGAAAAGCACGAGATAATAAAGTTATGATAAGTAGATCGCTGTTGAACTTTAGCTACTACGGATCTTACTGTTTTGAGGAAAGCTATACGCAGTACGAAGTCTGGTATTTTGATCATACCCTAGCATCGAGATAGAGTACTCCCGACCTAACAATGCTAAGCCCTGGCGTCTATGAGCGGCATGGAATCGCGGTTATGCAGAGAAGAGGGCGATAACCATCTCCTTAATCAGATCATCAGCCCTCCAAAAGCCCCTGGGTGTCCCATTTTTGGAGATCCGCTTGATTCTGCCCTATAGATTTATAACCATCGAGGTCCTCCATTACGCTTATGGAAGGGTAATTTACCCTTCTGGAAGAGTAGACCGACTGAGGACTCTCCAAGTCAGAAGTTCTGATGATTGCTTGTCGGAGATAAAAGTAAATTTTATGGTTTAGAGGAAGATTGGACCCCTTCGTCAAATTCATTTTCATGCTAACTAAATCATCTAACCCAATTGATCTAAATGTCTGCAGATTAATCCAGTTTAGGAACTCGTGAACGAGTACGATCAAGATGCACAGACCACCATACAGCGCCAAGAAACACTAACGTCGCAACGCATCTCACTATTTATTTCGTTTTCCGTATTCCATTTCCTGAAGCAGATATATATACGCGTAGGTTTGTACTATGTACTATTCAAAATCTGAAAGCACTTATTATACTTTTGAATCGATACCATACAGCAGGGGAGAAATCAGCCACAGGAATTTCGTCAATCTATACATATTCTGCCACTCATCGTATACCAGACCCAAATAGTGCACGAAATACGACGAGGTATCTCTGGGCGTATTTGTCTATTGGTCAGACTGCCCACTGTTGAGGACTGGCATACTGTGTAGTTCTATAGCTTTGCTTAGAGTCTAAGGCTCAACCCTCGTTCCGATGATCCGAAGACCCCATACTAAGTCACGGAATGGTTGTCATAATTGTAAAAAGAGACGGATCAAGGTATGTTTGCTGCATTGAACAATCTACTGTCCCCCTTGGATTCCACCTCCGAAGCTTCTCTGCGAAAATAAAAATGGCATTCCTCTCTGCTCTATTTCAATCACTGACATTTTGTTTTACCTCGAAGTGTGATGAGGAAAAACCAAGCTGCCAGAAATGTACCTCACGTGAGGCTCTATGTACTTACCCAAGGCTGCGGCCTTTGATCTGGGTTGATGGCATCCAATCTACGACTGAAGCTGGCAAAGAAGGACCAAAAGACAGCAATGACTCTTCGCCTCCCTCATATAGCTCAACTCCTCGAAATGAGGAAATTCCCAACACGAAAACCCCATGTCTTAATCTCGAAAATATAGACCTCATCATCCATTGGTTCACAAAAACAGTCCATACAGTTAATCCAACCTCCAACCCGGCTGCTCTCAAAATATGCCAGACTCTCATCTTGAACGAGGCAATGCAGCATCCTTTCCTCCTTCATGGACTACTTGCACTTTCCGCACTCCATTACGCGGACTCCCATGCAAATCCCCAGAAATATATTGAAATTGCCATTGCACATCACACTCAAGGACTCAATCTCTACCATTCCGCTCTTTCCAACATGAGTAAAGAGAACGACACAGCTTGTATTGCCTTCTCAAGCATCACTGCCATGTTCGCTTTTGGTGTCTCGCGGCCGAATCCGATGAAAGTGGCAACAACTGAATTAATTGACGACTTGGCTCAAAGTTTTGATCTAACCAGGGGTTGGTGTACGATCATCAATGTGAGAAGACCATTGAGGTTTCCTCCTGAAGAAGTCAAAGACATCACTTTATCAATAGATGCAGAAGCTGCTTTTGATCGATTGTATGCTTCGAATCAAGGCGAAATGACAACCCTATACGAGCAAGCGATTTCTTATCTCAAAGCTGCGTTCAAGAAGCTAGAAGGAGAAAACGATAATCCGCATCTAGCTTTAGAATGGGGAAACATCGTGTCAGAAGAATTTGTGAATTTAATCAAGGCACGAGATCATTTTGCTTTGGTCATTGTAGGGTTCTATTGTGTGGTTTTTGAGAAAGTGCCGCAGGTATGGTGGCTCAATGGTTGGAGTAAGGGACTTTTTGGTGTTATTTGGAAGGAAGTTGATTGCTCTTATCATGAGGTTTTGGAATGGCCAGGGAAGATTGCTGGATTTGAGGTATAGGTGTTTGTTGGAGTTAGAGTGTTGAGTTTTGGGAATCTAAATACTGGGAAATTATGGACCATGACCAGGATATAATAGAGGATTTGATACTAGCAGGTATTCGTAACTGGTAATAACAAGCGGTATGAAACCATTGTGAATTATATAGTGTTATGGAGAGTAAAGTGGAAATGAAAGTGCGATCGGTATATTAATTATTTATCCGATGCAGAAACCATAATATTTCTCATCTCGAGATTGTAGATTAGAAATAAACACAACACCTTCTTAGATCTTAAATCCTTGTACGTCGCACGATCCCACCTCTCTCCCACTTTCTTAAGAAACTCGAAAATAAATACCCATCTCATCCTTCTCTCTCCACCCTCCCTACTTTTCCTCAATATCCACCCATTGCTTAATGTAGAGGAAGAGAAATGGAGATTTCCCGGTATATTCAGTCGAACCGAGTAAAACGAGATATTCGTGTGATAACGAGGGATGTATGTAGTACTGTGGAAAGTTCCACGAGTCTGAGATCAAATGGACAGTTGTAAGGAAAAATTAACTGAAAATGAGAAATGATGTTGTTAAACATTGGCTTCGGCTGGTTGCGTCCAGCAAAATTACTGTGTCACCAAGTCCCTGAATATTGTAGATGAAGCAGAACTTTATCGATGAACACACACATGGCATCCCAAAATGCAGAATACTGACACTCTCCAGCCTTTTATGGGAGGAGAAGAGTATTCGATGTATGACAACTTATCATATTTATACCTATTAGAACTCCTACCCGCTATGTCCACTCGTGATTACGGGCCGGTTGCCCAGCATTCTCGGCACAACCAGACTGTGCATTTGTCAGTTCATCAAAACCGATATTAATAACATCATCTTTCTTCCGACCCTCAATCTTCTTCTTTTCATCAATTGTAGCTTTCTTATCCATCTTTTAAACCTCTTCGCATCCTTATTTTCTCTTCTCTTTTAGATAATCGACAGGACTCATTTCCTTCACCAACAGGATCCTGGCAGGATCGACGATATTCATCCACACAACGGCCAGATAAGATAAAAGTAAAGCATTAAGGACCATAAAATATTATCCATGATATGGGATTGAATTCTTACTTGAATCAATACCGACCTGAAAAGCGGCAGATGATTCAACTTGAAATAGGTGAATGCGAGAAATGCAGAAATGATAAATAAGAGGCATCCGAGGGATTAAACAGATTAATTCCTGCAAGAGCATTCGGATACACATTCTTTCTATTCTGAGACAATATTCACATGATGCTATCGTAGATGTCGCCGCAGAACTACTGCTTGCTATTGTTTTCTGGAAGATATGACAGCTGAAGATATATATATCATACATGAAATGAGAATACTGAGTTTGACGCTAGGAATGAACAGTACCAGGGCTCAGCAAGCTCAAGATTGGATTTATACTCATTATTTCTGAATAATCTCAAAAGCGCCATCTTTTGAAATATTCCCAGTATGAGATCGGTACAAGGGACAAACTAAACTAGAAGCGCCTGGCAATGCAAAAGTATTGAAGCAATATTACTTTTTCACGGTGAACTCACCGATTGATAGGGCTCGTTGGTCGAATCCTAGCGTCTTTAACAAGGTCGACGCAACCCGGTCAGCCAGGTGAGTGATTGGTTAGCAAGGACGAATAACGAGCGGAGGATGAGAGAATATGATTTTACGTAAGATTGATAGTGATGAGAGCGTTGTGCTGCCGCGGACTAGACACAGCCCTATTGACCCCTTACGTGCCTAGGAATTTTCCAATAGGGTTGCACCAACCGCGGCAACTCTCCGATGTAACATGCAGCTTTTGCACGTGACATATTCGAAGCAGGTAGGTTAGAGAGAGTCATTTGATTTTGAAAAAAACTGTCCGCTAGCTATTCATAAAGTATAGATCGCAAGTCCAAGTGTTGTAATAGCTAAGGTTTAATAGCCTAGATACGCTCATATATGTTTGTCGGTTTCGAGGACACTTAACCTTAACCTTAACCTTAACCTTAACCTACCATATCCATTCCCTACCCTGAACTCGCTCCAGATTTTGTCCTTTCTATTTACAAATATAGATTTAAAACTCAATCCAATCGAAGACACATCACCATTAAAACAATGAAAAAATCAAGTAAACAATTCTTCACGGTCCAGATATTTGGCACCTCGTATTTTGGGCGAATGAATGAAACCCTGAATAGCTGAATATCGGTTTCTCCTTCCACCCGAAAGAAATTTCCGAAGAACAGATATGTGTTTATGATGATGTTCGTATAACGGAGCACGCTAGAAACTTACTCTAGTTTACATTGTGTCATGACTATCCCTATTTTTGCTCTTTAGATAAATAATCGGGTGATTTTCACTGCAGTCAGCGGAGTCCTGTGCGGGTCTAGTATGCGATGGATTTCAAGAATCTCAAACGAAACTACTAGGTACACATCTTCTACTACACCCATTTGTTCTACGTACGGGCCATTAATAAATCTCCAGATCATCTCAAGGAAAAACCCAATGATATCACTCAGACATTGTTTCACGACCCGTTAGACCATTGCCAAGAAACGTCCAAAGTATGAAGATTCGTCTATACATCCGACCGAGTATTCATCAATTGATAAAACCAGCAAACAAATACCTAGTAGTCAATCAGAAACAAAGATTAGATTTAAGCTTCTATACCAAGCTTTCCTGCCAAGCCGGGAGTTGTTCTGACATAACCTTATGGATATTATAATTGGCTTGTTTCGAGATGCCAAGACTGGGGTATGAGATGGTTAGGATCATGGTGGATAGGGGTCTAGAAGCACGTTTTGAGGCATTTTAATATGTAAAAGCCGCCAGGGCTTATCATAAGAGGAAGATGGGTGAATAAATGAATGAATTATGTTTTGACGTGATGTGTGATATGCTTTCTTAAGTGATAAATAATTAGGGATCTAGGTACATCGACATTGATCCTTCGTGAAAAAACGTGAGGTTATCACAATATAAATAGCTAAGGTTAGGTTACTAGCTACAACACCAAAACCAACAGAACAGATCCAACGAATTCAAAGGAACATGCCATTCAACATCAACTCAACATCAACATCACCGACTTTACTATATCTTGTGCACCACTAATTTTATATCCTCAAACACAAATCTCACACACCCACACCACACCACAAAAAAGTATCATACAATTGCCAATTTCTTCCTACCTCAAACTCCAAACCTCTAGCTACCTACCTAGTACCTAGTAGGTATCCATTGATTCCACTCAGCTAATCATGCACCTCCCCGCAACACCGCCACCAACCGAAATTGCTCGAGCCTCACTCCAATGCATCGTGCCTTCCTTTTCTCCCCTCTAGCCCCAATCTCTATCCAATCAACACATCTCACAAACATATTCATCCATGTACACTTTCACATAAGACTTACAATTTTATGAAATAGGATTTCGGCAGTATCACCATAAGCTATCCTCGTTTCAAGCACGACACAAGATTTCTCAACTTTTCTTCATATGAATCCTGGAGCCGAGAAAGTAAGAATACCTACCTACCTACTAGGTACTTGTCGCTGATTTTTACTTGATGTAAATCAGTCAGTCTTTCTTTTCATGTTTATATATAAGTAGGCGGGGGATGACCCATCTATATTTCAGTGGGATCTTTTCTGACTGAGATTTGTTTTTCGAGTCACATACTCCCTTTTACTTCTTTACTTCTTTACTTCTTTGCTTCTTAGCTCTTATATTCACTCGGATTTTCATGTTGATTCGATCACTCCCTCTATTTACTTTACTAAGGCTGGAGCCTTTCTTTTCTTTATTTCCTTCACTACTTTACATCTTTCGTTGAATCAAAGATACTGAAGATACTGCTAAATTGAGCAAATATCTTCAAACGTTTCTACTTTACTCCTGTCATTTCATCGAACAAAATCCTCACACCTCAACTCAATTTACTTTCTCAACAACCAGTCACCAGTCATCCACCAAACCACACCTTCAAAATGACAAACCCCTACTCCAACTCCCCACACATAACCAAAGTCCCCCTCGAAACCATCTCCAAACTCGCTCCCTTCTCCGGCCTCATCCTCTCTATAATCCTAATACTCTACTTCCTCATCCGCTACTACCTCCTCGAACCCATTATGCTCCCCCGTCTTTACAAATCAACCTTTACAAGCATGCCCTTGGGCTCTCCTCTCCGTCTCGGCTTCATAAACCATCATATCGCCGGCCTTACTAAACTTCTCATCCTGCTTCTCGCAGCCTATCCATTTATTTCGGTGACTTTCCTAACGGCCTCTCTACATACACCGTTTGCGAAAGGGAGTCAGGTAACAATGGGTGATATTTTGATAGTGGCGGCGCAAATGTTGATAGCGATGTATATATTTGAGTTATTGTATCGACCGAAGATTAGTCCAGTGAGTGTGGGACATCATGTTGGAACTATTTTGATCGGACAGAGTGCTATTGCTATTAGTTTGGATTTGGTCAAGGAAAGGGATGCTACCATTGAATTTATTCTGTGTACGGTTTGGGGTATGTTTTCCTTCTGTCTTCTTTTTCCATACCCCTTCTGCCTCATTTTCCGTTTCCTTTTCCCCTCATTCCATTTCCCCCTCTCACTCCACAAACTAACAACCCCCAGGAGCCTTCGACATCATCTCAGAATTTCTCCCCCACCTGACCATAATTCTCTACCGCGTATATCCCACCTCTCACGCTTTCCTGCGTAAAATCTTCCGCATCGCCGCAATCACAACCTTTACAGGTACAGTAGCCGAAACAATCCTCACCATGTTTCTCTTTGGTAGCTTGTGGGATCGATGGACTTTAGCGTTTAAAATAACAACTCCAATGTTGCATATAGTGTTCATGGCGGCGCAATTGTGGGGGACGTGGAATTTTGTGGGGTTGTATAGGAGGCAGGGTGTTTTGATGGGGGAGATGGAGAAGAGAGGTGGAGAGGCGGGGTTAGAGATGGCGATAGGGATGGGGATGGGGGAGGAGAGAGGGAGTGTGAGTGAGGTGGAGGGAGAAAGGGAAATGGAATATGGTGGGATTGGGAGGAGGGTGACGGCGACAAGAGTTGGTTCGGGAGAATAGTTCGAGCACGAGAGGGGAGGTTTTTCGAATGATATAGTGATATCTGGGAAAGAAACCCTTATATCGAGAACAAGGTCATGAAGAATGCGGTAATAGGGAAAAGTTCGATGTGTAGAGGCATATGGCGTTATATCGAGCATTTTGGTATTGGGATATCGCACAGCATCGGTATGGGTACAGAGTGTGGATTCGACAGGTGTGAATGATTCATGTATAGATATGTTAGGAGTTTCTGAGATCCATCAATTGCATGTGTATGATAGAAAAATAGTGGCATATATAGTATAGAAAGAATAATAGAATAATTTTGATTGAGCTAGCTTTTGGACCTACCTGTATAGTTGAAAGTATCAAGAAGGGTATCAAGACGAGACGGAGCAAACTAGGATGACTATTCTGTCTGAAAGAAATGGCCATCTCAGTCTGATTCTGGATTTCTATCCGACGAGAACGGTATACGTCGACCCCTTCTTCCCACATATCATAGCCCCTTCAACCTATCCCCTACTCACCATCAAACCACCAACCAACAATCCCATCCATATATCCATCCTCATCCATACACATATGTAAAATTAATCCTGCAGAGAGAAAACCAAATTAGTTTCTCACTCCATCCAAATGATGAAAATAAAATTAAAATCATGAAAGGGGGAATAATAAATCAGAAGCTGAACGCGTTCTCAGCAATTGCAACATTTGTACATCTGAGTGAGCTGGGTATAACGTATGTGTTGTTCATCATTTTTATGGTTTTTTTTTTGGTTTTTTTGAGGGGGTTTGGGATGAAGGATCTGGGGATTGGGCTGTAGGGAAGAGGAGGAAAAGGGGGGGAGGAACGTACGGATGGGGTTTTTGATGGTTTCGTGTGGTTGAAGAAAAGTAAAACTGCGATTAGTTTCTCCCTCCATGGTTGGGATCTGGGATTTGGTATTCGTAATTGTATTCGCATTTTGCGATAAGAGACAGCCATGCTCTTGATATTGATCCAATTCAATTCATTTCATTTCATTTCAATTGAGCACTCAGCCCATTGATTTTCATGAACCAACAAAGCGCAAGCTCTGCAACAAGATATGTTGATATATCATCATCATCATCGTAGCCGTGGTGCTGAATGAAATGAAACAAAGTAAAATTAATTAAAAAGGAAAGGAAGTGAAGGAAAAAGGTATTTCCAAGCTTTGCTGAAGGAATTTTAAAAGTTTTTTTTTTTTTTGGACGCTAAGAAGTTTTTTGCTCGTACTCGTAGCGTGGTTGGTGGTTGGGATTTAGTAAGTGGGATTTTATGTGCTTGGGACACACCTTATACGGAGTACGGAGTACTGTAGGGAGGGTGTGGATTGAGGGATTTGGGGGGTTTACTGCGTGCGCACCTCTGGGGTTTGGGTTTGGGTTTGGGTTTCGGGTTTTGATACATTGCGGGAGAGAGTTTTTGGAGGTTTTGGAGGGGTTTTTTGCTGGATGGGTGGGTATCTATCTTTCTATTCATACTGATTTTGGGGTATTCAACAACACAGTAATAAAAGTAATAATTCAGAGACGGTAAAAGTGTGCTGTGCTAGACAATTGAACAATTGACAGTCAATCGTAAAGGCCATGCAATCAATAGTTAGAAGATAAATACAATGCTACAATTCTTTTTTCACTTGAAATCAAAAGTTAAGGATAAATATAAGTATAAAGCTTCATTCGATTGCTCAGTTCAAGCTATAACTAACTATAAGTTATCCATATCTTCCACTTCATTCATCAATCCTTCTATCTTCCTCTCTTTCTTCCAAGCTGTAGAGCAGTTTCCATGTATCATATCATATCATATCATTATAATAAGCATTATTTAAGGGGCGTATATCATTCAGTCATAAAGGAGTCTATTTATCATCAATATCAGTACAAGTTTTTAATGTAGATGGATAGGAGGAGAGATAAAACTCACGTATAAATTATAAAATAAAATTCGTCAAATCATTGATGCGTTTAAGCGATAATCTCAGCTTCGGCAGCGACTCGCTTGTAGTGATCGTAAGATCCGTAGTTGGTGTAGCCGGTTGCGGTGGGAGTTGCAGTTGTGGTGGAGGTTTTGATGGTGGTGGTGGTGGTTGATGTGGTAGATGTGGTGGGCACTGGAGCGTAGTTCTCGTAGTTGCCGTCTGTGATGGAGAGAATTGGTTAGTTATGCTGAAAGTGGATTGGGTTTGTTTAGTGGGACGGAATGAGTTGGGATGATATAGAATTAGGATATAGCGGGAGTCACGAACAATTGCCATCTGGATTGACAGAATTCAAAGTCAGCATTGCTCTGGCGAAGCCTTGAGACAATTGAGAACATATGAGAGCGCGAGACTGGCTTAGGGAAACGAAAAATGAGGAGGTAACTTACAATCACCGTAGTTTCCATAGTCTACTGGATCGGCTTCTGGAGCACGTGCTTTCTTGTTCTTGTATGCTCCGTCTGGGGAAAATCATTAGCGAAGGCAGTTTGTACTGTACATTGAGTATTACTTACAGTTTGCGTATGAACCATATCCGGTTTGAGTTGGTGCGGTAGATGAGGTTGTAGTTGGTTTAACGGAGGAGCTTGATGAGGTTGGTGTTGGCTTAACGGATGAAGAGGTTGGTTTTGGTGTTGGTGTAGCGGATGAGGAGGTTGAAGGAACTCCTGGGTAGTTCACGTAGTTACCGTCTGTAAGATTATAATGTTAGTACTGTATCAAAATAGCACTTGATAGACGAAGACGAACAGTTTCCGTAGTCACCATCTAGGGATTGGTCAGCATTTCATGGTCATAAATTCGAAATTCAAAAAAGAATGATTTGAATCAATCCTATGAAATGTATGAAATGTATGAACTTTAGTTGACTTACAATCTCCATAGTTTCCATAATCAGCACGTTTTTCTGCTGGAACTTCTCTAACTTTCTTGTTCTTGTAGGCACCGTCTATGAAAGGTGTTAATCATGTAAAAGCTGGATATCTGGTTGATATATCTGCTTACAATTGGCATAGCTACCATATCCAGTAGGGGCTGGTGTAGGCTTGGAGGATGAGGAAGAAGGAACTGGATATTTCTCATATGTGCCATAGTTTCCATAGTTACCATCTAGAACGTGTGTCAGTACGTTACTTTCATTCCGTGGGGAAAGTACTCTTACAGTCACCATAGTCACCATAGTCTGCTGGAGAAGCATCCGCTTTAGCTTCTGGTTGAGGTTCTGCAACTGGTGCAGCTACTGCACCAACGGCGGCGAATGCCAAAAGTGTGATAAAGTCTCTTGAGAAAAGCATATTGAATGATGTCTGGTTGAAGTAATTGAAATGGTAAAGATAGAATCTGATGTTGATAGGAGAGATGATGAATGATGAGAATGATGCTCAAGTATCGTGGGGTTGATAGATCTTAAATACCTCGAAAAATCTATAATCCATCTTGATATACTGTCAAGAATACCCGTTGGAAAACATCTTACCGAAAAAACCGACACTATCACCTACGTATGAAAAGTATTGAAAAGTATCTATCCTTGGCATGACACTGTCGGTCAAGATTCAAGTAGCTTGCTTGATAGGAAAAGTAATAATTCCACGTCATGATACTGCGGAATTCCCACTCGGGCTAATACGCAAACATCGATTTTGATAAGTATTGAGCGATATAGCAAGCTAAAGGCGTGATTGAAGTAAGGAGAACGAGACCGAATAGCTACATGCTGCACTTTGTACGTAGGGCAACATCAGCACAACAACTCATGTACTGAACAGCCACGCATTGCGGTAAGTTATCGCGTAATTCGTATCTGCATAGCCAAGTGGCTAATGTTATGTTGGGGTTGCGGAAAGTATGATGTCGCCGCACAAAAGTTTCATAAATTCCCATAATTGGAAAGCTTATGTGAGGTTGGAATATGGTGGAATAGAGAGGGACTGCATAGAAATTGCGGGGTCCACCAGGTTAAAACTCGTGTTGGATGGCTCGTATCTTGATGATCTACGTCCAGGTGATTGATACGAGAAGGTACGAAGATCCATTCTTCAGAATCTTGGCATTTGAGTAATTGGGCAGGTATCTAGTATATCTTTACTATTGGAAGAAATAAGGTTATGGTTAAAAGGTTGTTCCGTCTTTTCATTGCATCTGGAAAAGGTGTCTGGGAAATGATAAGATGGATATTCTACGAGGGAGTGTCGAGTATGTACAGTACAGTACAATACAATACAACTCGCATCATTCCATATAAGAAAAACTCATGTTGACATAAAAACCCGTATGGATAAAACCTGGAAGTGAAGTGGAGAAGTAAGACCTCACTCTGTTCGGTGTATGTTTAGAAAACGAAGACGCCAAGTAATATGACAACACGAGCCCTACTACCCATTTTTCCAACATTTCAATGTTACTCCGTACTCCGTGATGCCGACAGCAGAGTGCAACGTGCATTGTGCACCCTATAATCCCTGACGATATCCATAGCTGCCCACCGAAAATCATTGTTCCTGGCCTGGTAGATCAATCTAGCTAACCTTCCTTACGCTGCTTACTGTATCACCAAATTTTTAAGCTTCATCGGATTTTCCCGCATCTGCACATCAATTGAACATCAACCAACCTCGTACAGCACAACACAAGTCTAGTCCTAGTTCTGGGCTTTGATTCTGGTGCCATGTTATTAGATCGGATCATTATTACATCCGATGATATAGGACTTAATTGCCTTTGACTAGATAACTTGTACTAAGTATTTCCAATACTTGGATGGCGAAGTCGCTGTTCAAGTTGGACGAAACCTTTTCCTAACATCAACTCCATTCATCTCATCTCTTTCTTTCCAACTTCATTTGTCTTTTCATCTGAACCTATCTCATACTTGATATATTCAAATGATTGATTGTTCTCGACTATTCTCTTCATCTTGAGATCTTCATTGTACCCCACTACATCCGTTTGTCAACATGTCTTATACTCCATTTTCAGACAAATATAACGAAGTACCTCAATCAGAAGATGGTGAAGGATTACTATCACATACACAACAAAATTATAAACAACCACCCAGACGAAATAACATACTTTGGTATATCCTATCAATACCGGTGATATCATTATCGTCAGTCGTTTTTGGTATATGGATTGGTGCTCGGTTTGTGGCAAACCCCGCCAAATTATGTCCATCATATGTGCAACATTATTGTATGACCCAAGATCTCACCATTTCTTGCCCAATTTTAATATGAAAATAGCTCCTATACTGAATGATATTGATACTTCATATCAACCAGTAATGTTCAATGGATCATTCATGAAGGAAAATGCGTTTAGATTAAAAGCAGGCCCTGAAGTGGATGAAGCTTGGGGAAGCTTAGGAGTACATTGTGAGTCCAATACTTGTACCAATTGGCTCTACCAAAGCTAATTATCCATAGATCGGAGTTTGGCATTACCAGCTAGCGAAGCAGAGAAATCCGGATTAACATCAGCTCATGTTCAAATAAACGAAAAATATGGAGGAGGATTTCCCGTAAATTTGGAAGGACTACATCATTTACATTGTCTTAATCTTGTAAGACAATCGCTATATTACAATTACGATTATTACCACGAAAAAGGAGAAGGAGCATTCGTGAATGATGATAATGTTGTTCAATATCACGTCTGTAAGTGTATCCTCAAATTCAACATTTCATCACATATTATTTCACTCAAAGCCATTCTTCCACCAAAGCACAAGCTAACACATCCCAGCCCATTGCCTAGATATCATCCGCCAACAACTCATGTGCCAAGTTGACACGGGCGTCCTTGGTCAAGTATGGTGGGATAAATCCAAACCCCAAGCATTCGTCGACTTCAACACCGAACATAAGTGCAAAAATTTCGACGCCATCAGACAATGGGCAGAGGAAAGACAAATGCCTGCAGGTGGTCCTCCGGATTTCTTACAAAAACCAAAGGAAAGTGATGTTCTTGAATCTATACCCTAGAATGGGATTATGAAGATGATGAATTATATATGATATAATGATGGGATGACGGACAGTTGGTTGGTTGGTTGGTTCGGATTGGTTATGGTGTTTTGGATGGAAATATATGGATGGGGTGGGGATTTTGATTGGGAATTAGGGGTATGTTATGAGTAGGTACATAATGTCAATTGTAATGTTTGAATTCGAGGGTATCTAGAGGGAGATAGATTGATGAATATTCGAATACATTTACTCTCGTCTTTTCATGGCAAGTTCTAGAATTGTGGCAATCTACACTGTGCAACCCTTTCCCGGGAGAGGGGATTTATAGTATCTCGCTAGTCTCCCCAATTGGCGGAACGGCAGTCTATGCAATATCGGAATTTTTCCACTGCTTCTAGTTCGCTCCAGAATGGATTCATCCATTTGATAATTAAGATCTTACCTTCATTCAAATCTATTTTTCATTGTTGAGATTGCTTTTTGTATACTACCTTTTCAACTATTCCCCATTTCCTATTCCTCACCCATTCACTTTCCATCCAATCATAGCCTAGTAAATGTGTTTTTTCTTCTTTTGCGAGGGGTGGGGATTTGATTTTTTTTGTAGATGGATAGATGGGGATGGGGAGGATGACAAGGAGATATGAATGCGATGTTAAGTGGGTGGGTGATTGTATATACGAATTGATATAAATTTACTCTGGTTCTGATGTCTTTTATACTATTATGGGATATATGTTATTTGATTTGCAGCTTGCTGTGTAGACGGCGTATCGAACTACTAGAGAGAAGCTAAGCTCTTTCCTTACTTATTTGGCTAGATATAATATAGAGATTCGAACATACATTTTGATCCTTTGAGTTGTTTTACTTTTTTTGGCTTTAGAAGTATAAAAAATGGTCTATGGTGTAGTCTTTTTTTCTCTTGATAATTATGAAATAAGCCGTTCAACAGAGATGATGCCAGAGTGTGGGGATTCTTGGAGCTTGTGTTTGTGTGGGAAGGACAGAGGGGGTGATGAGGTTGTTGTTGTGTATACTAGATATGTATCATGGAATCAAGAGTTGGGGTTTCGTTTGTGTGTTGTTGTTATTCTAGATCGGTATCTAGCTGGTTGCTGTCAATCTTTAGATACTTGCTGTGAGTGGTATTTCCATCATGGTATTGGATGAACTTCCAAGTTCCTTCTTTTTATGAAGATCAGAAAAGTGCAGAGTAGAATACAATCCAATCATAAACTGTTGGATCAAGATCTATATAGTAGTTCTGTAGTAGTGGATATACGAGATTCTGAATTATGATAGTTGGATAAATTGAAGATTATTTAGAGCATCAAGTGAACTCTTTTATAATATAGAGGTGGATGATTGAGATATGTAATGGATTGAATGAGTTTAGTGATTAGTGGATTTCGTAACTTGTGCGATATATAAAGGATTGTCTGATCCTAGGTTATTAATTAAATTACCCCAATTTCAAGTACTTTCCTTATGTTTATGGCTGTCTGCTGGGGAAAAGGGAGCGCTAAAATAGCTGTTAAGGAAAAAAATCAAGGAGGAAGCAAGCAGTTGGATCTATAGCTACTATGGAAGGTGAGCGGTTTGTAATATTGATTGAGATAGAAATCTAATTCAAGACTTACATCTGATATTTGGCTTTGAGTTGTTGTCATCGCTTTTGTACTCTTGTTGTTTTTACACTCTTTACACATCTATAATTGGATTTTCCTCCGGAGCTTTTTGATAATACAGAATATACACAATCAATATTATAGTCTAAGAAACTATAGTCACCATATAAAATTTACTGCTGTGGCTTTATATTCTAGAATTCAGTGTAAGATTTTCGGAATTCCTTTCTTAGTTCATGTTTCCTAGTTGAGTTGATCCTATAAACAATTTATATTTTCCCCTCGTTAAAATGATGAGGCTCCTTCACAGGCCCACAACAATCCCCACTACAGTGACTACACCCATCCAATTCGTCCACAACAACTGTGGATACCTACGTACTGTAGGTGGGGTCAACAAAAGAATTTCTCCCAACTCCTCCTAAACCTTCCACAGCATTTCCAGACCCTACCCCAGCTTGAATTCTGTTTCCCGAGCAAAAAAGTAAACATGCTGCGAGAGGGGTTCGAACCCTCGCATCTTTCGATAATGGTGAATTCCCAAGAACTTAAAACCATCGCCTTAGACTATCATTTCAATTAGCTTTGGTCGCACTGGTGTGGTGAACATTGTGCAACATACCCACTCGGCCATCACAGCTCGTTGTGTTTGTTGGATGAGAGGTCAAGTGTAATATTTGCGTATATATACTGTTTGAATTGTTTTGTGCCGT